GAGCGCCGGCGCGGGCCCCCCTCCCCTCTGCCGGCCAGCCTGGGCCGGCGGCGGCGGCGCGCGGTCCTCGCCTCGGAGCCCCTCCGCCCCGGGACGCGCGCGCCCCGGTCGCCTGCCCTGCCGGCCCGGCGGGAGCCGCTCCTCGCCTCATCGTCGCCCGAGCCGCCGCCGCCGCCGCTCAAGTTTGCCCGGTAAGTTCGCTGGGGGCGCCCGGGTGCTGCGCAGGGGGCCGGACAGGGCATCGCCAGCCGAGAGGGCGACCTCGGGGGCCCCCGGCCCGCGCCCGACGGGAGAAGGGGCTCCGCCGCGGCCGTGCCGGCCGCTCCACATCGCGCTCTGGCCGGGCACCTCCGCCGCCCGCGAGACCCAGCTGCTCAGCAGCCCCCGGCCGCGGGAGGCGAGGGGTCGCCGGCGGGCGCTGTGCGGCCTTGCCCCGGGCGTCGACCCCATGCCGGCGCCGGGAGGCGCGTCCGCCCCGCTCGCCGAGTGGGACCCGGGCGGTCCGGCTCGGGCTGGCGGGGTGGCGGCCGCGCGCCCCCGCCCGTCTCGTCCGCGCGGTCTCCCCGCTTCGCGCCGCTTCCGCGCCGGGCGGGACGAGACGGGGGCGGCGGCGCTGGGAGGGCCGCTGCGGGCCGCCGGCGTCGCCTTCCCGGAGGAGGCCAGGAGACTGGGGAGGCGCGACCGGCGGAGCGCCCTGGGCGGCTCGGGGCGGTGCCGGAGGCGTCCGCCCGCGGAGCGCGGCGCCGGGCTCGGGCGCCCAGCCTGCAGGGCGGCGCAGGACAGCGCGTCCCGAGCGCGGAGGAAGGCGCGGCCGGCGCGCCGCGGGGCGAACGCTGCAACAGGCCTCGGGCTCGCGGGTCTCCCGGCCCGCCGAAGGGGCCCCCCTCCGGGGCGCGGACGCTCCGCCTCGCTGGCCGCGCCGCCGTGGGGTGTGCGAGCCGCCGGGTGCGGCGATGCGACGGCGAGGGGACCGCGCTCGTGGTGTGGGGCGCTGGCGGAGTTCGCCCATCTTCTCTCCCCCTGTCGCGAGGCGAGAGCGACGCGTACTGACTGCAGGTTTAGGGATGAGGGGGGCCCCTTGCTCGAAACGGGGGAACTGGCGCCGTCTCATTTCGGCTTTGCCTTGGGGGCTAGAACAGCCGAAGAAGCGTGTTCCAGCAGAAGGAGAAGCAGCGACCAGCCCCAACATCCTGGGTGCAGCAGCAGCAGCAGGTTCATAGAGCGGTGCATCTCAGCCTCACCTGTGATGGCTATTCCCTGCCGGTGCCAGCCAGTTATTAGGAATTCAGTAAATCAGAAAACATTGAAAGAAGGGTAGATTGATAAGATGGAAAGAACTCCTGATTACCTTCAAAGCGGACTCCCAAGAAAGTGCGCTCAGATGTGGCAATAGTGGGATCCCAAATCACAGTGCCCGTGTTACAATGCTCCTGCTGTACAGTGGCTTTTAAATAGATCCCCCCCCCCCCCACACACACACAGATGCACCCGCTCTGCAGTCAGGCTGGGACTTTTCCCACTCAACTAATCTGAAGCAAAGTGGGGGGTACAGAAAGTGGGTGGGTGAAGCGTGGAAGCATCTGGAAATATCAATGTGTTGCAAAGCAAGGGGCTGCAAGGCAGCACAGCGACCCCTCCTTCCTCCACCAAGCATGCCACAAAGCTGCGGGGCACCTCTGTGCCTGCAGCCCAGTCACTTGGCGGGAATCTGTCTCCAATGCCAGCCAGGCCCTGGACAGAGCATGCTGGTTCCTGTAGGCCCCACTGCTCCTAAGACATGGCTGAGTGCATTGCACCAGGCTTCCTCTGTTAGTGGGAATCGTAGAAACAGAAACAGCAAGTCAGAAGGGGTCTCCTGGGCCATCTAGTCTGACCCCCGGCTCTAGCCATTTCCACTCCCATGTGCAATCTACCAGTTTGAGAGGACATGGGCAAGACTCACCCCCTTCCAAAGCTCAGTTTTGGGAGCCTTTCTTCATGGGCACTTGGAGGCATTGCAAGGGTCCTGCTGCAGAAGTAAAGGAAAACAAAGCAGGTGGTGGGCCGGTCACTCTGACTTGTGCCTGTAACTGGCTAAATCTCCCAAGGGAGATTTAATCCCTCTGTTTTCATGGGGCTGGAGATAAAACTGGGAGTGGCACTAAGCCCTGCCTTCTCAAATCCCACAAACCCTAAGCTGGTTGGTTTCACCTGAGAGCAAAGGTGCCAAATGGGCGTGCATTCAAGGGTGGGGGTGCCTTGCTGGTCAGACCCAGAACAGCAAGTCCATAGTCTAAGTTATAAGCAATGCAAACTGTGGTTTAAGCTTTTCTAAACCAGCCTTTAGAGCTGCATATGGCAAGAAGTGTACATAAAGTGTAAACTGTTTTCACCCATGAAATACTTGCACCCTCAAAAACAAGAACCGCTCAAGGCAAAAGCAAATCCTGCATAGGCCAGAAGGCCCCTGGGCATCATCATTGCCTCTGCCTTCTCTTCTATCGGAAGAACATAAACAGCGTGAGAGAGATGCAGAAATGGTTTGCAGCTCTTGCGAAAAGCTCCCCCGGGACCGCAGCTCTGTTGCCAAACGTCTGGGCGCTTCTTCAAGGCATTCCCCTTCCTTGTCTCACTGGGGGTATGCCTCCTTTGTCACCCCCTAATTTTCACACAGACCCACACAGGCAACAGCAGCAGTGCTTCCCTACTTGGCATCCAAGAGCAGAAGTGCTTTTACCTTGTCTTGTTCAGCCCAAACTGATCCGCAGCCCACATCCCAGACAACACACTGTAGAAAGAGGCTATGCGAGGAAATCATAGAAGTCTCACTCCTAGAGGGCCCCTTGAGCTTCCTGGAAAGCGCCTGTGTACTTTCATGCATGGCTTCCTGGGATATTCCAGAGTCACTCTAGGAATGAGGGACTCCTTTGTGAAGCCCCGGGGGAATCTGGGAGCCACGGGAAATGCTGGGGAAGGGGCAAGCCGCCGCAAGGCCTGCTGCAGGCCAAATTCGGGCAAAGCTTATGAGAACCCTCCAGGGCCATCCAGCCCTTTGTGGGCCTTCGTCCTGGCAAACCATGCTTGAGGCTTCCCAACCAGCCTCCATCTCATGAGCTGGCCTGCCGGACAGAGCCCCGAAAACTGTCAGAAAGTGCCCTGGCTTTTCATGGTAAGCAGCCGAGGGCCAGTCCTGCTGACGAAAGCACTGCAAGTGAGGTGGGTCTGACTGGGGTAGGGTCCAGAAGTGTGTGGATTTGGCCCCACAGCAGGAGGGAGGTGGGAGAAGGCGTCGCCCCCAGGGAGGGCAGTGGGCAAAAGCTCACACAAAAGAGCACCTTGCAACTCCCTTCTTGTTCTGGGAATGCTATGAGTGCATCCATTGCTCTGTGTGTAGCATGTGAATATTATTAATCAGTCACGAGCAAATGTGTAGACAGAGTGAGGCATGGCCAATTTTTGGTGTCTGTGGCTATGTTCTTCTTGACCAGCAGAGGTGGGAAATTGTAAAATGTGGGGGTGATTCCTGGTGGGAATCCCTTTAAAGTACCATTTCTGTAATGTTGGAGTCGTTTTACAGCTGATAAGCTTTGGAAGGACTTGAATGCAACATGAAATATGAGGGATCCTGGGCCGACAGGAAAATCTCCATGTATTCCTGTACCTGTTCTGTCATCATCAGTGCAATCCTCTTGCTCCTATCTGGCTTCAAACGCAACCAAATCCTTCTGGATTTGTACTTTGTTGCCTGCTGGTGCTCAGCTTTGCATGTCTGCATAATTCTTGGTGGGTAGAAGACTCATTTCATTTGTGGAACGATCCCCCACCAAGTGGAAATTGAACTCTTGCTTCCTGATTGGCTTGAGAGGCGTGCTTTTACATAGGGCTTGCAATTGCTTATTGCATAACAGGGTCTTGCCTTGTGCAAGACAGTGCCTTACTACAGGGAGACACTCCTTTGCTGCTCTCATTCCAGCTGATGCAAAGGGCAAAACAGCTGAACAACAGAGGCATCTGCAGATGGAGGAGAGACACAAGAGCTGAATGTGTCTCTCCCCAGATAATGCCAGTCCAAAAGGCATGTGCATTTGAAGCTCTGCTGAATTTCGAAATAAATGTGCACAGCACTGAGCTGTAATTCTGTTGCTGAGTTACTTGCTTTTTCTTGGAACATCTCCAACCCCTAAATGCTGAGGTGGAGCATATCAGGCCATGCCACAAAAAGTTTTGCACAAAACAAGTTTGCTTCTTAGCTGGTTTTCTTTTTTAAGCTGGTTTTCTTTTTTAATCGAGTGTAACTTCAGCAGTGGTGCCCCCCCCCCCCCAAGAACAGCCACATTTCATAATATACATAGGAAGAATATTGGCTCTGCAATGTAAAAAAACCATTTTCAAAAACTCCATATTGTGAAATGTCAGCATTTCTTAGACATGTATGTAAAAAATATGAATGTGGGTTTGCAAGCCCTAGTAACCCCTTTCCCTTCCCTGCTTTCTAGATTCTGTGAAGAGTGATGTGAAGCAGAGCTGGAGTTTACCTTCTCCAACAGCCTCCACCAAGAATAATTTTCTAGCCCATTGATCTGCTGCTTCATTGTACAGAAACTGAGGGAGCACCCATGATTATTACACACAACTGTCGGTTGTATTGGGTGGGTTGGGGCCTCCTGCCTGATGATTATGTTGGAAACTAGGAAGCATTGTTGTGGATAAATAAAGGCTGTCTTTTGGAGAGAATCCAACTGAAATCGCCATCCATGGTTTCTGCCCCCTTTCAGAGCCTGATCTCTTCCTACATATATAAGATCTACAAAGGAATGTTTACAAAGAAATTGGGAAATAGTACAAAGAAAAGAGAGAGTTGTCAAAGCAAAAAGGAACAAGACATCTCCCACGCTGGACAGATAAAGAATCCCAAACTCTCCAACACTCTGAAAAGCAAAGTGAAAAAGGTTACCAAGTGCTCCTCTTCTCGCAATTTGTCAACAGAAGAGGAAGGACCCAACCAGGAGTTTTCTCTGTCTCCAACATTCAGCTATCGGGTAGCAATTGCAAATGGACTACAGAAGGGTGTTTTCCTAACCCAAAAGAATGAGGATCCGTTTCAAGAGCCGTCTTCCAATGAGAGCTCATATTCAGAGTCCTTAAGTGAAGTCAAAGGCCTGACTAGGAGCAAAGAGCTTTCGTTGCACACTATGCCTGTGAGGCGGAACAGGAAGAGCTCGAGTAGCCTTGCCCCTTCCGATGGCAGCTCTGATGGGGAGCGCACCTTGCACAGTCTGAAGCTTGGTGCATTACGGAAGCTGCGCAAATGGAAGAAGAGCCAGGAATGTGTCTCCTCAGACTCAGAACTCAGCACATGGAGGAAGACCTGGGGCCTGCGGAGCAAGTCTCTGGACCGGACTGCTCGCCCACCTAAGTCCAACACCCTTGAGCCAAGCTTCAGTTCAACAGGTTGCATCAGTCAAACCCACGATGTCATGGAAATGATCTTTAAGGAACTTCAAGGCATCAGCCAGATCGAAACAGAGCTCTCTGAACTGCGGGGACATGTCAATGCCCTGAAGCAGTCCATTGATGAAATTTCGAGCAGTGTGGAAGTGGTGCAGAGTGAGATTGAGCAGTTGCGGACGGGATTTGTACAGTCCAGGAGGGAAACCCGTGACATCCATGACTATATCAAACAAATTGGGCACACGGGGAGCAAAGCCAGCCTCAGATTTTTAAATGTGCCAGAGGAGAAGTTTGAAAATACCGAACGAGTGGTATACAGAACATTAATAGAGAAAATGGGGTTCTCGGAGACACAGAATTTGGTCAAAATTGACTTTGCGCACCGTGTGGGCCAGCACAGGGAATGCCCCAATGCCAAGCCCAGGCCTGTCCTGGTTTATTTTGAGACCCCGCAGCAACGAGATTTAGTTTTGAAAAAATCTTACAAGCTGAAAGGAACTGGCATTGGGATTTCAACGGATATTCTCTCTTCTCATGACACACGGGAACGGAAAGAACGGGGCCTGCCTTCTTCGCAGACCTATGAGAGCATGGACATGAAACTGCCAGCAATCGATCTGAAAGCTAAAAGACATGGCTGGGAATCACCTGACAGCAGTGACAAAGAACTGGAATCAGATATAAATCGGAACAGTTATGCAAAGATATCCAAATCGGCCCCTCAAATGAAAAGAAATCTTGCCAAAGCAAGAGAGGAACCAGCAGCCCCTTGTCCCCCGCAAGGAGCTGCAGACGGTGCCCATTTCCCCAGGGAGACCACATGTAAGGAAGAGTCTTCAGGAACAGAGGGCCTGCAGAACGTGCCCAGGGCAGGCCGCCACTCGAGCATTCCCCCTCTCTGGCAGTCGCAGAATGACTTCACGGCTCTCAAGCTCAGCCGGTCAGAATCAGATTTCTCTAAACTCTGCCAGTCGTATTCTGAAGATTTTTCAGAGACTCAGTACTTCAGCAGAACCAATGGCAGCTCGCTCTTATCTTCCTCTGATAGAGAGCTCTGGCAGAGGACGCACGAGGACCCGTCCAGCTGGTGTGGGGGTTCTCAAGACCAGACCTTTGAGGACAGTCACCCTTATGCAGCGGAGAATGAAGCAGAGAACACCGAAACGGTGGACAGCGGGGTCAGCAATGGGGCACTGTGTGTGTCTGCAGACAGGAGTCACTACAGCAACTCTCAGGTCTCCTTGGAGGACGACCTTTCTCCATGGAAAGACTGGAATCAGCTGGAACCAAGCACAGGCCTGGGGTTAGATTCGTCAGCACAAGACATTTTGGCTTATGATTTGAGCAGCTCTTCTGATCAGCAGACAGACTATGGCCAACAGATGGATCTCTCAGATGTCCAGTATGATGCAGAGAATTACGATTTCGCTCTGGAGGGCAGCTCTCCTTCTGGTGTGGGGCTCAGCAGTGAAACGCAGGGCCAGTGGGTTGGCCCGTATGATGACTATCAGGAGACAAATGACAACACTCTGTATCAGAACCAGGACCGAAAGTCCATGCTGTACCGGAGCCAAAGTGAGCTGCCAGGAAATGACTTTGAGGAAGCACCTCCAAAATCCTGGCACAGCAGGCTGAGCATTGACCTTTCAGACAAGACATTCAGCTTCCCCAAATTTGGGAATACCCTACAGAGGGCAAGGTCAGCCTTGGAAGTGGTGTGGAATAAAAGCACGCAGAGTTTAAGTGGGTATGAGGACAGTGGGTCATCTTTTATGGGGAGATTTCGGACTTTGTCCCAGTCAACTGCTAATGGATCAAGCACAACTCTGGATTCTGATGTTTACACAGAGCCTTATTATTACAAAGCTGAGGATGAGGATGGCTACAGTGAGCCTATTGGCGAGAATGAGACAGATTACGTGGAAGTCATGGAACAAGTTCTTGCAAAACTGGAAAACCGAACTAGTACCAATGAATCAGAAGAACTGGCCCAGGACTATGGTCCAGAGCAGACTCCATATGAGAGCCCTTGTACTGTTTCACAGGAGCATTCCCCCAATGGATGTTTTGATAATTCCTTGTTGAGTGAAGATGTGTTGGAATTGGTGGATGATACAGTTGATGAAGCAGTCGAAGTATGTGAAGATGAAAATCAGAATATCCCAGAACTCCCTGTTCAAGCACCCATGAAAACAAAGATCCGGCCATCATTTAAAGAAGCCGCTCTGAAGGCATACAAGAAACAGATGAGCGAACTGGAGGAGAAGATCCTTGCTGGAGGTATGGCATTTTTTGTATTTTATATTTAAACAGAAATAGCCACAGCAACTGGTCTGTTGGTTTTGTAGATGTCATTTTTCTTCCTTGGAATGGTTTCAGAGGCTTGGACTGGACTAAGAACCGCTAAGTCCACTGAAGGGAAGGCGGTTAAGTTAACCTTTTTCTAAGTCTGGATCCAGTCCACTGTAACTGACTTCAGCTGGAATTACTCTGGATTCTGGGTGAATCCAGGTCAATGCCAAGTGTTCTCAGTTCCCCCATGATACTGGGTGTTAAGAGGCTCTCCCCTGGGTGGGAGGTGGGTTTTCCACTTCTGGAAGCACTTAAGCAGAGACCCTGGGACCACTTTAAACTGGGTTCCCTCACTGAGCAGGAGTTGGACTTGAGGGCCTGAACTCTTCCATCTCTGGGATTCTTTGCAGTCTTATCCCTGATCCAGTTAAGCCCAACTCTCAAGCTGTGCAGACCCATGGGAACAGATTGAGTAAACTGGCTTAAATCCAATTTTTGTGGTTAACTGCTTTGTGAAGTGAACTGTTAGGTTGTATCTCCAAAAGACAGTTTATTGGAATAAACTATTACAGTGTGTCATTTGTAATATATCTAGGTCTCTGTTAAAGTGATTAAAGGTTATATATGCCTTGTCCTCAAATGGATCTAAAGTGCTAGGGCAAAGTGCGAGAGGCGTTATTGAAAAAAGACCTATTGAAAGAAGATGGATTTGGGTCCTCTGACACATGTGTTGTATTCCTCCAGGCTGAGCTCTGAGGGCACGCAGTACATGGCTTCTTTAAGGACCGATTGAAAGCTTTCTTTTGTGCACCACACGGCCCTGAGAATGTTTGCAGGAAGTCACTACTGATCCTATTATACCCATTATGTGCCAGTTACACAGGCTGCCTCTTCTGACCCCAAATTAAGCTGCTGGCATTACCATTTAAAGCCTTGTATGGTTTGGAACTAACCTGTGGGAAGACTTGCTGTGTCTCCGGACCACCAGGGAGGGCTGTTCGGCTGATGGATGCTGTGGGCACGGCCTTTCTGTGGTGGCTCTGCAGCTGTGGATTGCTTTCCTCAGGGAAATGCACATGGCTCCCTTCTTGTTGACTCCAGGAGGGTGCTTTTCATTGCAAGCAGTTTTTGAACGAGGGTGTTATTTGTGCTGGCTTTTATTTGATAATTCTACCTAACTCCTGTGTTGCTGTTCCAACGTTTTAGTGTTGTTTTCATGAAATATTGGTATCCTGTTTACTAACTATTGCAAACTGGGAGAATAGTTGATCATGAATGATGGGTGTTGGGGCTGGGAGGTCTTTTTTCTTCCATTTTGCCCTCAAGTCCTCTAACAGCAGTTTCGCCTCCTGGCCCTGTTCAGCTCCTAAACACAGAGCCATGGCACCTGCTCTGCCTGGCTGGGAAGCCCCCATCAGCCGAAAGTGAGGGATGCTGGGCAGCTTGGCTGACAGACTGGCCCACAAACCATTCTTGGAGGGCAGCATGTGCCACAGGTGGTGTGTTGATTGTCAGGACAGAGCATGCTTACCAAGACGCTGCAAATGGCCCAAGAATTGTGCCAGCCTTTAATGAGAGCTTCACATCTGAGTAGCGGCTGTACTTCGGAGGTTGTCGTGAGAAGGCGTTCAGCCCCTGTGGGGCTTCAGGCTCCTCTTGATGGAAATAGATTCATCAGAGCTGGGAGCAGGCCTGGGCAGGAAGGTCGACTTCAAGGGCACATTTCAACACTGGCGAGCTCGTTCTGTGGTGCAGAGCAGTGCCGGGTAATGTTGTAACTTGCTTGGGTGGAAGCAGCTCTTCTTCCTCCTTATTTGAAAATGCCCGGATTTCTCTGCATCAGTGCATTTTGGAGGAGAAGCGACAGTCTGCTTTCAAACTCAAGTCATGGCAGGAACAGAAAATGGAAATGAGGGGATTTCCATGCCTGCCCCTGCGGCAAGAACTCCCACCCTTGGGCATCTTCGAGCACCTCCGTGGCCTAGGCACGTGACACAAGGCCCGGGAGAGGGCTTTTCCACAGGGCCTCCCAGTCTGTTTGGGCAAACCCTGCCCAAGGAGGCCTGCCTGGCACCTACATTACTTTTGCTTTGGCATCAATTAAAAGCATTTTTATTTTTCCAGGTATTTTACTCTGCTGCAGCCTATGGCTTTGTTTAAGAGCTTTTAAGTTTAACTGCTTATTTATTATTGTGAAATACATTTCAGTGGGGAATCAGAATGACCCAGCTAGAAGGGCTCTTTCTGGAGTGACGGGAAGCCTTGCACCCCAGTGAGATTGCCTTCAGTGGGTGGGCTGGGTGGGCTCCGTGTCTGGGGTCTGGAGGGGACTGCCCTTTCCTCTCTGAGCAGGGTGGTCTTCATTCCTGCTACTTCTCTGCCTCGGGGCTCGGCCTGGGCCTGCAGTCCTTCAGCCTCACAGTCAATGCCTCTCCAAACCTACGTGGGAGCAGGGCATGCTTCTTGGCAGTAGCAACTCAAGCAGCTGGGCATTTTTGGTGGCAGCCGCGGGACTCCGGTGGTGGGCTCCTTCTGAGGGGAGCGCAGCTGGCCCTGTCTTTGAAGTTCTGCCAAGCGTTCAAGTCCATTTAAGTGATGGGGACTTCCTTCCTTGATGCTGCCTTTTAAATAATTCTGTGTATATGGCGTTGCTTTCAGTTCTTAACGTTGCTGGTTGTCCCTTTTGCAGGCCAAAAGACAGCATGCAATTATCTTTATGCATAGTGTAGAATTCATAAAAGGGCTTACAGCCTGAAACAGCAGGAATGTGCATGCGTCTCTTATTCTCCTGCCTGCATGTCCACCTGTGTGCCCACTTTCTGAGGCATCCTCCCCTCAGATGCTCACTTCAGAAATGGTAAGGCAAGGTGGACTGGGGGGCTGCCTGCTGACTGCCCCTCAGCAGTTCCTCTCAGTGCTCCACCTTGTCTGGGCCAAATTGCGTGAGAAGCCGGGCAGTCTGTGGAGGGCCGAGGGAGGCAAACAGGACCTCACCTGGCCTGTGCCACAACTTGTCTTCCTGTCTCGTTGCTCCTGAGTGGCTGGCAAGAACGCCTCATGCCTCTCATCAACCACTTCCGATTTCCTGTTGACCTTCGCTGGATTAGGCCAGCACCGATGTGTGAGTCTTGCTGTTCCATGTGTGCGCTGGACGTTGCATGCCTCTGGGCTGCCCAAGCAGCCAGACATCCTCGAGGCAGAGCTGCCTCAATGCCTCCCACTAGCAGGACTGTTTTAGAACACAGCGTTCCTGCCTGTTTCCTGCAAGTCCTTGTAGCTGATCTAGGTGCCTTCCCCCTTACCTCTTTATTTCGACTTCCGGGCAGCCCTGCACTGATTAGAGACTTGCCTGAATCCAGCAGCCCCCTCCCTTGGACCCTGGCCTCCCCAGATACCCACAGCTGCAGGGACAGCAGCAGGGCCGAGAAGCGGAAGTTCACCTGCTAGGAAGATGTTCAGGGGAAGGAACCTCGCCAGAAGCCCCAGCCAGCCAGCATCCGTGCTGTGCATGCAGATTGGTCTGCACCGGCCTGCTGCTTCCCCCTCGGCTGCCCCCCTGCAAGATTTCCCTGATGGCCTGGCTTTCTCTGGCTACCCTGGCCCAGGCCGTGGCCTCCCGACACCCCTCCTGGGGCTCAGCCCGCCTGTGATTGAGGGGGCGTTCTGATTGCCAAGAGTCAGTGGGAAATGTTTCTTGGTCCTGACCGCATGGGAAACGTGGTAGTGACATGGTGCCTGCCAGGAAGGCATGCTGTGGGGGCCGGGGAGGGAGGAGTGGGGAGCCGAGTTCCCCCACCTTGCCGTGTACTCAAAGAGCGCTGCGTGCAGCCACTCAGGTCAGTTCTGTTGCTCCCCCTGCAGTGTAGAAGTCTTCCCCTGCAAGTGCTCCGACTCTGGGGGGGGGGGCACCCTCAGTTAATGGCTCTCTTGCTCAGGTAGCCTCAGGGGCCGCTTGCAAATGCTGAGCAGGAGCTGTAGACTCCCCGCAACGCAACACTGCGTGCAGCAGCCCCACCATGGACGACCCCGCCGCCGCGTCTCTCCTCCTCAGGTGCCTCATTGCCGCCGTGCAACTCTGCCACTTCTGCTTTAATTAAAGTTATGGAATGGATTTGCTTATGTGGCCACGAGGAAGAGTTAATTACAGCAACACATCTGTATGATTTGTAAAGGTGGGTTTGCCCTCTATCAATTATTGTACTTGATGGAGGTAGACGGGAGCTGAAATTCGCCAGGCGACCGAGAAGCACGGATAGGTGCCGGTGCCGGGCCCCGAGCACAGCGGGCCACTCTTGGCAGGGATCCGGTCCAGCAGGGAGAGCCTGCCCTGGTGCATTGGCCAGCAAAAGTAGCTTCTCTGTTTCCATCACAGGTATCTTTGTGCTTTCATGTTGCAGCCATACCGATTTCGTTGTGGCCCAAGGGATTCAGCGAGGCGCTTGATTTCTACTTGACTGGTGTTTTTCCCAGGAAAATGAGGCTGGCCTATTTTAGGCCTGCAGCTCTTCCTTGGCCTAAATCTGGGGGCAGGAATAGCAGCCCCCGTGCTGCTGCTCCCTGCTGGGGGAGGGGCTGCTCTCTTTGCACTGGGCAGCGACGAGTGTCCTGAACGGGCAGCCGTGGCTCTGAAAGGGCCCGGAGAGAGAAGCATCGGTTGGCACTGTGACAGGTGTGCTGGGGATTCCTGAGCCAGCAGGCACTGCTCCTGGTCCTATGGGCCATTAAGGGCTTCCAACCCACCTGGAGAGAGGGGCGCCTCACCCCTCTCCTGGCTTCAGTGAGCCCGGGGCAGGGAGCGGCCACATGGAATTGCTGCGGGCATGCTTCTGGTGGGGGCATTGCTGGGCCCACGAGTCTTCTTTTTGTTCATGGCAGGGGCACCGTCCTGAAGCAGGCCGGTTCCGATTCAAGTGGTATCCCTTGAGTGGGTGTTTTGCCTGTGAGCATAAGTCAGTGACAGGAGGAGTGACTCTTGAAAGAAATACACCTTTCCCTGTGGCGGTCCAGCTCTCCTGTGCAGCCATTCCAGAGGACTAGACCCAGCCACTTGGGAGCCATTCTCCTGCTTCCCAGCTCCATGCCCTGGCGTTGGGGAATGGCGGCAGGGTGGCTGCGAGGGCAACTCCTGTTAGGCCAGGCGGAGACACCGGTCCCAACCCACTACCTGAAGAATTCGCAGTCCTCTTGCTGTTGCACCATTGGAAATGGCTAATGCAAAGGGTCTGATCGTCTAACCCAAGAAGGCATTTCCGGAGTCTGAGAAGGGCCCTCTAATGTTTTGTGGGCCCATTAGAAAAACGGCTCTTCTTTTCCATGTCTTTGTGTTTACTGAGTTTCATTGACTTGGGCTGTATGCCCTCTAACCAAGTTGCTTTGGAAAGTTCAGACAGGGTTACAAATTCTGCCCTGCACCTGCCCCTCTCCCATCAGCTGCTGCTTGTGGAGTAGCACTTGGATCACACAGCCGGCCTTGGGGTTCATGCCCTAGAAAGCACAGCTGGGCTGGAGAAGGGAGTCAGTCACTCCTCTTGGTTCCCCGCAAGTTGCTTCACAGCAGCAGCAGGGAGAGCCCAGACCCCGGATAGCAAAGCTCCCCAACTGGACACCGAGTGGGATTGTAAGTGTGCACCATTTCCTGGTGACTCTTGGATCTAACCTTTATTCCTCCTCTTCCCGATTCTCTTTCAGATAGCAGCTCTGTGGATGAAAAGGTTCTAAGATCACCTATTTCCTTTCAGGGGGGTTGTGTCTTTCGTTGATGTATGTTTGTGACTCAGTGGCCCTGTTTGGTCCCTTCATTTGAGTTGTGAGATGCGCATGTTTGCCCAGCTTTCCATGCTTCTTCTTATTCTCTTCCTCCTCCTCTGTTGATGTCACTAAATGCCTCCCATTGATATGCAGAGTGAACCCTCACTGTTGTGATTCTCTGACCTCATACGTTGTGCCAACTCAGGGCTCTGCTCCGTCAAACCAGTTTTGCTGCCCTGTGGCAAACAAACAAACAAACAATGGGCCAATTGCCTTGGAGGCCACTCTTTGCTCCCCAGGGCTTAAAGAGGACCACCTGCCCCGTGAGGATTCCTGGGTGCACACAGCCAGGGTTTCTCTCTCAATGCTGAATGTCGCTCCGAGGTCTTTTCCAACGGAAGGACGTTGTTAGCTTTGGCGTGGAGCTGGCCCTGCTTAGCACTTCCATTCTGGGTGTTCTATGTGCCGCGCACTGTTTTCCTGCTCACCGCCTGTGCACCCCAGCTAAGTAACTGAGCTCTTCCTTCTTCCCCGTTCAAGGCTCGCATTGTGAGTGGGGGTCCTTTGGAGGCTTCCAAGCTTGCCATCCAGGCTTTTGCAGGGTAAGTACAGGCACCGCGAGCGACTTCTGCCACCTTTCTTATTCTTTCCCTATAGAAACACGGACAACCACATCAAGGGGGCAGAGAACGTATGACTGCCTGAGCATGGAGGAGAGACAGATGGTGGGGAGGGGGCTGGGGCTGCTTCAGAGGAGCTTTGTTCGAGCTTTGTTTGCGGGGGGTGGGGGAGACTGGATGAGATGGCTGGGTCAGGCTGCAACTTTGAGGGCTGGAGACACAAGCACAAAAACAGGGTCCTTTTTCATCATGGCTGATTCATTTCAGTTTAAGTTCCTCGCACTTGCAGCCACCAGAAATGGCTGATTGCATCTCCCAATCTATTTGTGCTCCCTTCTTCAAACTGCTTCCTTCCTGGCTCAGGCCCTGGAGCTGCAGAGAACCAGCGCAGGTTATTTTGGCAGTCTGTTAAAAGCTGCATTCCCCCCCCCCCCGCCCCCAGGTCTTTGGAGCACACACCTGACAAGCATCCCTGCCTTCTCCCTCCCTCCCTCCCTCCCTCTCTCTCTCTCTCACATGCACATGCATAACACTCACACAGCACATGGCAGCATAGCATCTGGAAGAGTTCAGGGGTAAATGTGCATGAACAAAACAATAGGAAATTAAGGACTGCTTGCAATATTCAGGTATGCTGTTCTTCATGGCTGGGTGAGGAACAAGATTTTCTTCAGTCTGAAGATGCCCCCACTCCTCTTGCTGTCCAGATGCAGCCACATCTTTCAGTCTGCCTGGACCCGGCCTGGACCCCTGCAGGCTCACGAGTGACTGGCCTCTTCTGGGCTGCCTGGGCAGCTGGCACAGTGAGCTTGCATGGCTGCTGCCGGCTCAAGGCCACGCGCAAGAGCTGCGCATACGCCTCCCTGCCCTGTGACCCCAGCTGTGCCGCTCTCGGGACCCAGAGAAGCTGTGGCTGCTGCACCTTTTCTGGACATTGAAATTCATGGAAATTCTCCATTTCAGGGAGCCTTCCTGAGCAGGGCACTGCCCCCACCGTGCAGTGAGCCTGAATGCAGGCAAGGAGCCATGGCTGATGCTTCCATCCTGGGGAGGTATGGGAGTCTGTCTGTGGGGGCAGCACGCCAGCTCCCCGAAGGCTGCTGCTGCTGGAGTGAAGGGCCCCCTAAAGGACTCTGCTGCTCCCACCACAGCCTGAACTCTCACATGGGGCTTCCTAGAGTGCTCCCCAGCCGTGGGGAGAGCACAGGAATAGCTCCAGAGGCCCTGAGGCCATCGTGCCCCTTCCCAGCACAGAGGCGTCCCTCCACGCTGGCCCATACCCTGCTGCAGGCCTGGCTGCCTAGCCCTCCCTGGGTCAGCTGCAGGATCGCTGTCCAAGGTACTGAAATTAAACCGGGGCCTGGACTGAGCAAAGTGCATTGGAGTTGGGCCTCTTCAGCCCTGGCCCAGTTTGTGCCGCTTCTCCCTCCCGGCAGCAGGCCTTGCCAGTGGGCCTGCCTGGCTCGGGCAAAATTCTGAGGTTGGAACAGGTTGGCTCTCCATACCCCACACAGCCTTCTGACAAAATAGGTTTAGATCAGACTTGAGAAACTGTTGGTCCAGTTAAATAGATTCTTTTAGTTGCTTGCTTCTGCACTTCTAAAGGTACTTATGAATGGATTTTAGGCCAGTTTACTATCAAAAAGTTGCATTTGAATTGTTCAATTGTTCTGTAAGGTGTTCTGAGTGCCACGTGGAACTGGGGGAGGGGGTGCTCATCTATAAAATAAAGCCAGTGCTCACCTGGAAGGGCCACCTGACTAGAGACTCTCATGTGGCTCAGCTGCAGCAGCATCCATACCTCACTGTCCACATGCACCCAGAGGACTTCAGCCCTGCCCGCCCCCCCAAACCAAGCTGGTGGTGGCATCCTGTGGGCGGTGGTCCCCTGCCCTGACCAGGTGCGATGGATTTTCAATGTTCTTTTGGTTTAGACAAGGCAGGGCTCTGTTTAGGACTGAGCAGATAAGGCATCACAGATTCCTTGTCTTGCTTACGTTGACAAGAGGTGCTGTATGGACCCAGCCCAGCCATCTTGGCTAGGAGGCACCGTGTGCCCTGGCAGACCCCAGAGCAGGCTCCTTGGCCTATGGGCAGACGGAGAAGCACCGCAGCCTTTGCAGCACTGCTGCTCTAATTGAATTGCTGCAGTGGAGTTACTCTGGTTTGGATTTGTGCTGTTTGGATGCGGCAAACAGGTGAAGGGATCACTTTGACTTGAACAGCTTGTGTTGGAATGGTTCTGGCTGTTGAGCTTGGCTCTTGTCCGGGTGGTCTGCTCTTGCTCTAACACAGGGACCAGTCCAAGCTTGTGGGTTCCATGTTGTTTCCTCCAACAGAATCAGGTACAAAAGGCAGGCCCTTAGAATGAAGTTCTGAGCCCAGAGGTGTGTTCTGAGAACCAAAACTGAGTGACACTCATGCCTTTGGGTGTCCCAGGGGTTCTTCATTTCAGTAGTGTAATTGCTGCTGCTCAACAATCGAGAGTCAGGAAATCCTTGCTAGTCTATGGCAAATCACCCAGAGATCTCCCTGCTGGTCCCAGGCTGCCTCCTGCCACGTCCGCTGCACCTCCTGCATCTGCCCTGTTGCTGTTTTGCCTTCTCCACTGTGCTGTTGTAGACGTGGATTTCATATTGCACTCTCTGGCCATTTCTCATGAACTTCTGGGTTGGGATGTGCCAATGGTTGTGGTAAACCTGGATGCGTCCTCTAGCAGGCCTGCAGGAAAAGCGATGCAGAGAGAAACATCAGGTCCTTCATCCGGCCCTGCCTTTCGCTCTGACGGCAATGCTTGGTTCTGGGTAGCACTGAGTATTGCTGCGGCGTATGAGCCAGGGTGAATTACCAGCCAGGCAGCTGAGCTGGTGGGAAGGGGGCAGATAGTAATAAGGGACTGGGCACACGTTTCCGCCATGATGCTGCAGCTCAAAGGGCCAGAGTGATCTTTAGTTCTATTCACATTCCCTGTTCACAAACCTCAATAAGGCCTTTTGGACTCTATGAGTCTGTGAAGCAATGGCCTTTAAAGCCGATCAGTTGTATCACTGGGGTTTTGCATGTAAGCCACTACATTGTCCATCCTTTCTCTCATCTTCAGCCCGAGTAATGCTCTGTACGGTATTGACAGCATGCCGGACTTGCGCCGGAAGAAGACTCTTCCTATTGTTCGGGATGTGGTAAGTTTCTGGCAACTGCTGAGAAAGCACAGGTGCATTGAGGGTGGTGGCTGACAGCAATCTTGGGACTGCACTGGGACTTTTCATTTTCGTTTTGAAATTTATCTTTGCACAAGCTGAAACAAAGACATTGGCTTGCGCCTTGCCTTGTTGCTGCTCAGCTTAAAACAGGCAAAACCGCACAATGACTATTAGTGGTGATTCCATGCTGCAGCTAACTCAAGCGATTAGTGAAAACCTGTGAGATGAGCAGCAGCCCCCGAGCTCCTGCTGGAGCAGCCCAGTTCCTTCTCCTTTGACCCCCACCCCAGTAAGGTTCCTGCACAGGTGCCAGCTTTGCTTCTGCCTCATGTGCTCTGGCTTCCCATGTGGCTCAAAACAGAATTCAGTTCTGTGTAGTGATAAAAGTGACAGATTAGTTGAAGGTCTACCCAGGATTTTTTTTCAAATAGTGGGAGCCTTCCACTGCAATTAGATGTTTGCAAGCATCATTCACTATTTTAGTATACCTGCACTTTGCACTAAATCAATTTCAGTTTGCTCACTGGAGAGAAAAATGAGTAATGGAAAGTGTTCCTCCCTCGAAGTGTTTTCTTCTGTGGATCAATCCAATTACCTGTGTGAAGGTTTTTGAAATGGGGAAGGAATATCAGGACTGCCTGATGTGGTCTCTCCACTGCTTTGATGCCGATCAGCTTGTTAATCATTGCTTGCCATTGCTGTACAACACCTGGCTATTAATACTTTCTCTGATTTCTTTCTCATCAATGCTGGACTTTCCAGGCCATGGTAAGTACTTTTCTGCGACTGGATGTTTTGAAATGCCATAATTAATCTCTTGTGTTTCTCAAAAGCTGCATTCCAGGGCAGCTGTTGGCCACAAATTAGAAATCCCTCCCCATGAGCAACACGTTAATCTGAAACAGTTTTGCAAAAGGGGCTTGAAATCCCTTTTTGAATCAGAGAGTGAGCCCTCGCGTACCTTGTCTCGGTGCAGAATGCCGAGGAGCAGGAATGAGGCTGTGTGCCAAGTGTGCGTCTCTCAGAGGAAGGCAGCAGTGGCCCCATGGAAGGCAGCAGTGCAGAGTGTCCTGGGAGCCGTCATTCACGGCGCCCTGTGCAGGGAAGTGCGTTTCCCACGTCGTCAGTTGCATGATAGAGCACCAGGGCGGATAGTGCTCTGAAAGACCTCCCAGCAGAACCAGTGTCACCAGAAGGAGCCAAGCAGCACCCTTTTTGGATGCAGCCTTCTGTCCGGGGTTTTGGCACAGCAAGAGTGGGGGCGGCTTGCGTGGGCCAAGGTCTTTCTGACTGGAAGCCCAGCTCGGCCCCGGATCTGTTGGGTGCTGAAGGCTGCTGCTGGCATTCTTCACTTGCGTTTGGGGAAAGCGCTGGCCGCTGCCGTGCGAGCTGAGCTGGCCTCAGAGGCTTGAGCTGCATCCCTGCAGTGTATTTCCTCCGAGGGGCCCATCACAGAGAACCCCTTTCCAGACCTTATGGGGTCGCTCAGCTCCCTCTTGTCTTGGGAACACCCGCCTGGGACAAACAGGGCCTTTCCATTTGTCTGGGGACATTTCAGGTCCAGCCAATCCATTTTACTCTGCATCTCCACAAAATGCTGCCTCTCCCCCATGAAGCTAGCAGGACGCCCCGGGGCTGTTCACCGTGCTGCCCTTAATGTTGCGATCATGCAGATCGCTGCTCGGAGGTGCCCGCTGCCCCTGCCCGCCACAGCTCCCGGAACAGGAGCCACTAAGATGGCATAAGAGGAGGCCTCTGCTGCATCTGCACTCAGGGCATGCCCAGCCACTGTCTCATGTGCAGGCAGCTGTGTGCGCTCTCCCCCCCCCCCCCCCCGCTTGCAGGGGGCCGCCGTTAAGCCCCAAAATGGCAGCGTCAAGGCGAGGCAAAAGAGCATCTGGCGCAGCAGCAGCATGGGGAAGGCCAGGGAAAGGAAGGGGTGGTCAGAGGGCCCCCGGAATCCGGAGCCAAGCTGTGGTGGCACCCCACCCTCGCTCCCTGGGATCAGCTTTTGTGTGTGGCCTGCCGCTTCTGGAGAGGGGACGCAGGGTCTTGCCTCCACGTGGACTTCCCTGTCACTCCTGACACAAATCTGGGCTGCTGGCAGAAGGGTGCTTTCGCGCACCTTCTCAGCATCTCCTCGCAGTTTGCCGCAGGAGGGTTGGCTTCCCTTGGAATGCCCAGAGGGCCTTGTGGCAGAAGGCCCTCGACCAGTTCTGTGCCTCCCGGGCATAGGGGTGGTCCACCGCAGTCTGAGCAAAGCCAGAGGCAGCCAACCTCCCAAAGCACAGCTGGAGCGAGCCCGGCTTCTTACACCAGACCTGCCTCACCCTGCTGGCGACACCCCATGCATGAATTCACGGCACTCTGTGCACTGCTGAGACAACAGGAGGCTCCCCCTGGGATGTCTCGGGAGATTAACTTTCTGCTGAGCAAGAGGCACTTGGCTGCCTCCTTGCTGGCAACGTTACGAGGATGCTCTTCCGTGCTCTGTTCTTGGTTGGGAGAGCTTGCTTCAGTTTAGAGCTGGTGCAATATGATCGCAATTTTTGCTCGCCGCCAGCCATACTCCTCATCCAGGAACAACCAAAAGGAGGTGTGGTTCAGCTTCCTGGAACCTGTTTCTGGTCTTGGCATGGGCAGCCGTGGGAGTCTTCCCTTTGGGCTGCATCAAGAGCCACAGAAACAAAACAGCACCCCCATTCCAGCCTGAGAGCCCCTTTAAAGCCAGTGGAAAATAAAGAAATGCCGCTGTGTCCTGCGGTTGGCTTACCCGGAAAGCGAGCTGAGAGTGATGCAGCTGAACAATGAGATCCACTCAAAGGTCACAAAATTCTAGGCAACCTTCCAAGATCTGGAGGGAGGGAGGGAGGGAGGGAGGACAAGCAACAGAGGTAGACTTGATGCAGAATTGTAAAGTCTGCCTGGTCCAAGTCTTCAGATGAAATATGGAAGGAGGTTGCAGACATCTAAATTAGGCTTTGTCAGGTGCAGGGATGGCTTCAGGTTGCACCTGAGGTCTCCCAGGGGTTGCTGGGAAGAAGACAAACAAATGATGCTCGATCCCCCATCTTTATATGTGTAGAATCAAGCTGTTACATGGAACCCTTTTCATACCTAAGTGAAACACAGAGTTTCTTTACTAGGTAGAAAACAGAAGCATAGAGAAAATGGGCAGGTTTTAGACCCAGCACAGGTGGAGATAATTTTAGGTAGTGTGTTATTGTTAGTCATGAAGTCGTGTCTGACCCATCGCGTCCCCATGGACAACACTCCTCCAGGCCTTCCTGTCCTCCACCGTCCCCCAGAGTCCACTTAAGCTCACACCAACCGCTTCAGTGACTCCATCCAGCCACCTCATCCTCTGCCGTCCCCTTCTTCTTTTGCCATCTATTGTTCCCAGCATTAGGCTCTTCTCCAGGGAGTCCTTCCTTCTCATTAGGTGGCCAAAGTATTTGAGTTTCATCTTCAGTATCTGGCCTTCTAAAGAGCAGTCAGGGTTGATCTCCTCCAGGACTGACTGGTTTGATCGCCTCGCAGTCCAAGGGACTCGCAGGAGTCTCCGCCAGCACTGCAATTCAAAGGCCTCAGTTCTTCGGCACTCAGCCTTATGGTCCAGCTGTCACAGCCATACATTGCAACTGGGAAAACCATAGCCTTGACTATACGCTCTTTTGTTGGCAGGGTGATGTCTCTGCTTTTTAGTATGCTGTCTAGATTTGCCATAGCTTTCCTCCCCAGGAGCAAGCATCTTTTAATTTCTTGGCTGCAGTCCCCATCTGCAGTGATCTTGGAGCCCAGGAAAATATAAAATCTGTCACTACCTCCATTTCTTCCCCATCTATTTGCCAAGAAGTGATAGGGCCAGATGCCATGATCTTAGTTTTCTTAATGTTGAGTTTCAAGCCAACTTTTGCACTCTCCTGTTTCACTCGCATCAAGAGGCTCTTTAGTTCCTCTTCACTTTCTGCCATGAGAGTGGTATCATCTGCATATCTGAGGTTGTTGATCTTTCTCCCAATCTTAATTCCAACTGGTGATTCATCCAGCCCCGCCTTTCTCAGGATGTGCTCTGCATACAAGTTAAATAGGGCCTTGCTGGACTCCTGGCCATGGCTGAAGCACCCTGCTTGCCTGGAGTTGTGAGTGCAGCCCTTGTTTGGAGCTTTCTCATGAGCCTCCCCACAGCCTCCCATCAGGCCTGTGGGGCAACGCCAGGCGGTCGCATCTGGAAGCGCGTTCATGGCTGGGACTCCACATCCTTTTTCCACAGAAAGTCGATCCATTTAATTTCTCTGCGTGAATGTGCTGTGTTTATTGGCATAAAAGAGAATGATGGCAGGTGACAAGCATACAGCATTATTTCATTATTAATGGTTAGCTAAGGAAATTAATCATGAATTAGCATCACCAGCTAGCTAAATTACCCAGAGCTTGCAAAAAATTAAAAAAAAACTTGTGACAATCATTTATAAACCGTTGTGTAACAATAACAGAGCATATCAAAGAAGACCATGCCAGAAGCTCTTTCTTCTCTCGGAATTAGTTTCATGCAGGCAATCACAGTACGTCCCTCTGCAATTGTACCTATTGTCACGGGAAATGCGATTGCGGAGGCTGGCATGCATGGGCCATGAGCAGTTTTCAGGGCTGTCAAAAAATCACCCCATCTTAAAACCCGTCCCCAGCCTTTGCCCATATGTGGGCTTCCAGACTCCATCTCTCTTCGGGCAAGGGCCTCGGCTATCCCTGACCCGTGGACTTCTGGACCACTTGCCTCTGACATGACTCCAGCAAGGGGCCATGTGCAACAGGCAAAACATGTCTGAAGCTAGTGCTGCCTGTCTCTGAGGTGCCAGCATGAAGGAAAGAGCCTGCATTTCTCCCATGAAGGCAGGCTAAGATGGCTGACGCGGGCTTTGCAGGGATGTCTGTCAGCCCAGCCTCCAAAAGCAACCGGTCAGGCAAGTGGGACACGTTTTTGGCCTTCTTACTCAAGCCACAGAAGCAGCCCCTTGAGAGAACTGTCCTGTTCTCCCACCCGCTTCCTATTGCAAGTGGTTTCTTGCTGGAGAAGATAGCTCAGGATGCCCAATGGAGCATCCTTCTCTCAGAGGGTTGTTGCTGTGGGGATAAGATTGAGAGCAGGAGGGGGAGAATGTTATAAGCTTATTTGAGATTGTTATAAGAAAAAATTGGGATATAAATCAAATAAAGAAACAAGACCAGGTTCAGGGTGGGGAGAGAGTCCTGATGAACGCCAATTGCAAGTTGTGAGTCTAAAATTCAAACTTCTGCATTATTAGCTAGAACGTTTTCCCAACATTCACAATTTCAGATCCTCCTGGAAACAGAGGTTTCTTAAGTAGGTCAAAAGTAAGTAAGAGGTCCCACATTTGACAAGTTGAAGCTACCAGTATTTCTTCAACATTGTATCACCAAGTCAGCATATTACCATCCAAGCACTTTCGTTTTGGCCTAAGAGATCAGACTGTGTGAGATTGGAACTGGCAAAGGGATTCTGAAAAGCACTGTGAATGCATGGGGTATTGAGCAAGAGCACCGTGCCAAAAGCTGCTCAGGCACTCAAGATGGGCCCCGAAGAGCTTGAGGGAGCAGCCTTGTTCCCCCCGACTGCCTCTTTTCAGCTGATTTTGCACCCACAATGGCTGCTTCCTTGCTTGTTGACAGCATGCTTTTGCTTCGCGCAGGCTCTGGCCGCTCGGAAGTCTGGGATCTCACTGGCCATGCTCATCCGGACATCTGTGAATAACGAGGAGATGGTAAGTGAGGGTTCTGGTACTGCAGGGAAGGCATCTGGTTTCTAGCTCCCAACTCATCGTCTTTTTCTTCAGAGGAGATTGTGCCTAATTGAAAAGATCAGAAGTGTTACAGAAGCGTGCGAACTTTCTGTGGGAGGATGCTGTTTCTTCTTAATACATTCTTTGGAAATTGGAGTGTCCTTGGAGTCCTTTCTTTTGCCTTCCTCCCCTGTAGGGCTTGGCATCAGAACGGAAGTAGTTATCTGTGACTGTTTCTGGAGTTGGATGGGGGCCAAGCAAGGTGTGGCAGCTGGGGCCACAGGACCTGTTGAAACAAGCACCTGAGTGGGGAATTAAAGGATCTGGGCAAACACTGTGGTATATCAGGGGAGTTCCTTTGTACGTAAAATGAGTAACCAGAGCAGCCTGTTTCCTTTCCCTGCCTGTCCGCCTTGACACCGTCTGCTTCCTGCCCCTTGTCCTCCCTCCTATGTTTGCATGCACACGCAGGACTTCGGCTCTTTTGCTGCAAGAGTCTGGCGCTCAGCCACCTTCTCTGTCCTCTTCCTGTCAGTGCTACGGATTGCCCTGTCCCCGAGCACAGGGTTGGTGCCTTGCCTGGCTAAAGCCACCTCTTCCCAAAGTCGCCTCCTTCCCCTTCCTGCTCTTCCCTCCCAGCCAACACCCTCTCCAGCCTCCTTTTGCTTTCTCGGAGCACCGTGGCCACAGGTCTCCCCTTCTTGATCCTCCCCAAGCCCAGCAGACGCATCCGTGTGCCAAGGGGAGGAAGGTCCTCCTTGGCCCTGCGCCTCCCTACTTGGAGCAGTCCCTTCTGCAAGCAGAGAAAGGGGCTCTCGGGGGCCTCCCCTCAGGCTGCTGGTCTGACTGGGGAAAGCCTGTGGCCATCTTCCCAGGAGCCTCCCACTGGGGGCTCAGGTTGACCCCTGTGGGACGCCACAGACCTTTTGTCTGACCCACTGCAGAGCTCCTCCTGGAAACGTGAAAGGTTCGTTGCTGCCTGTTCGTGGCTCTGCCCGTTTCTTGGGCAGCAGCCTGCTGGGTAAGGAGCTCTGGTTCCCCAAACTGCCTGCCCCCAGCAAAACCCCCAACGAGATCAGCCGCTGCCGAGTAAGAAGGATATTTCATTTGGCCACTGGCGTCTTCCTCATTACCAACTGCATGCACAGCTCTCACACCTGACTGGCTTCTAAATTAGCTGCATCCACTCAGGAGACACACCTTGGGGGATGGTACGAGCAGCTGAAGGGAAGCATCTGCTCCGCGCCGGCAGAAGGGCCTCAAAGCAGATGCAGCAGCCACTCAGGCAGAGTGGGGGGGCAGATACGGTTGGGCCACTGTGAGATTCGGGCCACGGTCCGCTCGAGCAGCCTCTAAAATGTGTGTCAGAACAAAGAATCTCGAAGCAGGACATCATTCTGATTTAGAGGGGAAAGAGAGCTCACCTTCAGCTTTGGTTAGGGAGCCATTTGGTGCGTTGGTGCCATTTTTCTGTGCTTTAAATGCTTTTTTGCTTACTCTGCCCACAAAGGGCTTTTCATGGCTGACCAGGAGGTTGATGCTTTGCCAGGTCATGTGGTGGATTTCACAGCGAGCACACCAGACCTCACAGGGTGCCCACCTCTCCTCCTCGTGTTGGTCATGAATGTCCCCTCCTTGAAGAGGAAGAGGTCAAACCAGATGTTGACCGCCACATGGGACAACGATCCCCAAGTCCACACTATTGTGCTTTCTGACTTGGGTCCAATCTTGAGGAGTCCCTGGACTCGACAAGCAGGGCATGGTCTCCATCAATGTATATCCATGAAGATGGTCCCTGGTGCTTGATTTCTACTCCCAAGACTAGGGTTGGTTTATTTTATGCAAATCAGTTCCTTTCATTTATATCCCACCTTTTCTCAGTCCTTCGGGAGGCCCTGAGGAGCTTCACAAAATCCTAGCAAATAATAATAAAAGCTTAACCTTAACTAACCCTAAAATATGCCACACTAAGCCATGCATCATTCCGATTTCTAAAACCCTCGTTTTCCGGAGTTTTTTCAGCCCAGCCCATTCGATCTCAGCATTTCGAACATGTTCCAGCCCTCAGAAACCTCAGGAGCACCTTAGTTTTCCGAACACTAACCCTACCCTGGCTTTCCACCCTAACCCTAAAATATGGCCCACTAAGCCACGCATGGTTCCAATTTCTGAAATCCTCATATTCCAGAGTGTATTCAGCCCAGCTCATTCTATCTCGGCATTTCGAGCACGTTCCAACCCTCAGAAACCTTAGGAGCACCTTAGTTTTCTGAACCCTAACCCTACCCTGGATTTCTACCATAACCCTAAAATATGGGCCACTAAGCCACGCATGGTTCCTTAGACTAGCTGCATGTTGGTTTTCTTGTTGTTGTGAAGTGAATCCGGCCAATCAGAGATCACAGCATGGGAGTGATGATGTCAGATTGTTACGTTGCCAGTCAGCTTACATAATGGTTGACAGGGAAATTTTAATCTTATATTTAAGTAGAACTGGAAATTCCATGTGATGCTTTTGAGCACTTCTGCCTTTTATTTACTGCAGCTTTCCAGTAAAATGACCTCCACAGCTGAGCATTCCTGGGTTGAGAAATAGATGGTAAAACATTGCCTTCCCAAAGCACTCCATTCCGTGGGTGGCATCCCCATGATCATGCTTTGCTTCTGTTTCCAATTGCTTGCCACCTGTCCTGTCTTTTCTCTGACCAGAGTTGCCTCAGTGCAGTGACTGGGACAAATGCTGCCCCGCGTGGTTTTGCACCTGTCTAATTGGTTGCAGCCCAGCCTGTAGCTCCTCAGAAGAAGTCCTGTGGACCGTCCTTTGTCTCTGGCCAGTTTTAATAGCTCCTTCCTTTTGTAGCTGGAACGTTCATTTCTTTTTTTAACTCAAGGCTCCGTTGTTTCAGCCAGGTTGGCTTTGTCTTGACTGTTTAGCCATGGAAAGGAAGCATGCATAGCCTTAAGCTTCCTTTAGTATGCAGCTGGGGACCGGCAGCCCGTGGATGTGAAGGGGCCTCTTTCCCTCTGGAGCCAGCAGGGCCCCTGCCTCCCTTTGAAGCCCAGCCAGGCTTCACTGATGTGAAGCCGGGAGTGGCTTGAATGGGCTGGGTGTCTGCATTTTAGCCCTAGCTGCTGCTGACGCATGGTCTCAGAGGGCTCCCCTTGAAGGAGCAGGGTCCTGACCAGGAATTGTTTCCAGCCCTCCACTTCCCGGTCCTCCAGCTCTTGGCCTCCTGCGTGGCTGAGACCGCTCTGCTACTTCTGCCGCATGCCAGGGACTTCACAGCGAGCGGGATCTGGGTCCCGTTGAAACAAGGAGGAGTCCCGTGAGCACAGAGCGCCCCTTTCCACAGGGCTGGGCTGTCTTGCCCACTGCTGTGGAGCACGGCAGCGGGAGACTCTCCTTGCGTCCCCATTCAGAGGCTCAGTGGGGAGCGACAGGAAAGCTTGCGCCTCCGTCCGGAATGGGCATGGTCAGAGGAGTGAGGGGGAAGTGCTTCCTGCATCCGGCCCCGAGAGCTTCCCTAGAAGGAAGAATGCAGCGTGGCAGAAACGGTGCTTCCAGGTGGAGATTCTTCAGCCCCTCAGCCTGCAAGGCCATTAACTGATTTCCTCCCCACTGGGCGTTTCACACAGCATGCGGCCCATTAGAAAGCGCCTTGGCTGCTTAGCTGTCCTGCGTGCGCCGGACACGTTCCAGCCTGATTTCCTTAATTGCCCTCACCGGGCACAGTTTCTCTGACATCGGAACCTCGTCAGAGTGATTTTGGGGGGCTGGTAACACCCCACCCAGGCCCAGCGGATTGTCAGCCACCCTCACTGGGGCTGGGCGACAGGAAAAGCCATGCCGCATCACCCCCTTGAAGCAGCCGCATCACCCCCCCAGACACCCGCTTGGTGGACAGCAAAGCCTGTGCCAACTAGGGCACTGTCTGCCAGTGCGCTTTCTATTTTCAGCCATCAGCATCTTTTTGTAAATGTATGCAAAGCAAACTACATGTTAGCAGTAAAACAAATTCCAAAGGCAACGTATGCAGGAGATTCGCGATGCAGAAAATGTGGCATTGCATAGCCTCGTGCCTTTCTGCTACAAAATATTTGACAACCACAAACTCTCTGAAGGATCCTGTTCTCTTTCTCAGCAAGAAGTCCTAGGAAATATAACTTCTCTCCTGTGAACGTTTTGTCGTCCGGACCAATTTGTTTGAACTAGTTTATATTAGGCTATGGCCTGTCTCTGGGTGTGTTTTATAGTTATGCATTATAGTTCTAGAAGAACGTGTTTCTGGGATGCAGTCAGACTCTGCATTTGGTGGGTGAGTGGAGGGAAGGTTCAGAATTAGTAGTCAGACTGCTGAAGCCTTGGGCACCCTCTCCAACCCTGGACCCTTCTCTGCCTGAAGCTCAGAGCACTTTGCCAGGACTTCTCGGTACCTGGAAGGCTCTCATGAGAAGGGTAGCACGAGGCAGCACTGATCTGCAACCTGTTGGGGGCGTGTTTGTCGACACTGATGAGCCTGCCTGTGGTGCTAATTGGCGGAGTGTGTGGATCGGCTTCTGCCCTGAGCTCTGCTGGGAGGGGAGGGGAGGGGAGGGGCTGGGCTCCTGGCCACGCTCAGGAGGCAGGGGGGCAGAGTGTGGCCCTCCCGATGCCTTGGCTCTCAGCCCATGGCTGCTGTGGAGGGGTCCTGGGTGCTGCAGAACCAAACATCTGGGCAGCCACAGGTTCCCACCCTGGTTTAAAGGACGCTGATGTGGCCGCTCCTTTGAAGGGGAAGGGATGCACTGATTTTTGCCCCTGGCTATTCCATGTTTCTGCCTCAGCATTGCAAAGACTCCAGGTGCAAAGGTCAAAGTGTCTCTAGTGTTTTAATGTGTGTGACATTTCATTGCAACTTGCAGCATCTGCTGAAGGTAGGATTAGAAATTGTCCGCATAAACACCCCACCTGGGGCAGACCAAAGGGGGAGATGCTGCAGGAAATGGCTGCCTACCCCCCCCCCGAAGCAGTATGCACCCTGTGCACATGGGAAGTGCTTCCAAACATGTCACTCCAGTGCAGCTGCAGAAATGCGCAAGCACCAAGCAAGGGTGCAGAGGTGCCTCCCCCTGCCCCAGCACAAAATGGTGCCCCAGCTCTGGCTGTCTTGCCTGACATGTGCAGCACACAGCTCTCTGGGGTGATGTAGCCAGTGCCAAGACCCCCCCAGGGCCTTGGGCGTGCGAGGCATCGGCTGCTCCGTCCCCTTGGGGACTGAAAGCCATGCATGGAAGGCTTGCTGACGCAGGGTGGGCCTTGGGCAGGTAGTGCGCCATTGCTTGGAAGCCTTGCCAAAGGGGCTTGACGGTCCTGAGGGAATGCATGAAGGGCCGGTCACTGACTGTCTCTCTCCCTCTCTCTCATACTTCTTTCTCGCTCCTCTGGCCCACCCTCCCCAGAAAATGCATGTCTTCAAGAAGACCCTGCAGGCCCTCATCTACCCCATCTCCTCCACCACCCCGCACTGTTTCGACGTGTGGACGGCCACGGCCCCCACCTACTGCTACGAGTGTGAGGGCCTCCTCTGGGGCATCGCCAGGCAAGGCATGAGGTGCACCGAGTGCGGGGTCAAGTGCCACGAGAAGTGCCAGGACCTGCTCAACGCCGACTGCTTGCAACGTGAGTCTTCTGGGGACAGACCCTCCGGCTCTGTGGGGCAGGGGGCAGGGAGCCGGCGCATGGGCCGCTCCGCATCCCCGAGAAGAGGGAGGCAGCCAGGGCCCTCCCAAGCTGCTGGCTCGTCTCTCCCGCCTTTAAAAGCACATCAGTACTCCAGGGTCTGCCCATCTGAGAACAGCCCTTGCCCTGCCCTGCCCTGCCCCAGCCCGCCCTGCCTTGCCCTGCCCTGCCCTGCCCTGCCCCAGCCCGCCCTGCCCCGCCCCGCCCCGCCCCGCCCCGCCCCCCAGGTCAGCCACGGCCCATGCCCCTGCTGTTCAGCCCCTGCAAGTGGAGCTGCTGCAGAGGGACCAGCGCAGGCTGTGAATCCAGCTGCAGGAGGCTCCTGGTTCAGGGTCTCGTGTTGCATGAGAGCAGCAAGACCCTCCTGGGGCTGACCAGACAGTGGCAATGGATCCACCATGGCAGACCAGAGCCGGCTTCCCCGGGGTGGGGCCTCCACTGCCCTTCCGTTCCCATTCGCCCCATCCAGGAGAGCCAGTGCAGCTGGCAGCTGCACTCCCAAAGATTCGGAGGGTGCCAGGTCAGCAACGGCCGGGCGAGCCTGCAGGTTTCTCTTTGGCCTGTGGCAGCCTACCCTTCAACCTGCCCAGCTTTGCCCCAGAATAGATCCAGTTGCTCTCCAGGTCTGCTTTGGATTCCTTTGCAGAAGGCTCCGGGCCTGGGTGTGTGTTGCGGTCATGACCTCCGAGTGTGGCCGCCCCCGGAGCACACAGTGCGGCAGCCTCGCATCCTACAGTCAGCCAAGTGTAGTTACTATGCCAACTGTTGTCGGAACATTTTTTCAAAAATTAAAATTATTTTTAGGCCACCTTTAAAAGGAAAACCTTCTCCAGGCAGCGTGCAGAATCAAACCATGCAAAACATACATTAGCCAATAAATATACAACAACATTCTAAAGACTAAAATATAGTACTATGGTACTTATCGTATGTAACAAGTATATAATAACAAGACTTTTACTTCACGTCAGGAGCAGCAGAAAAGAGCTCCAAGCATGGTGCAGAAGATAAGACCCAGAATATTATTACAGCAATGAAGGAGCAAATGAAGATCCGAGAGAGAAACAGACCGGAGATCTTTGAGCTGATCCAGGAAATGTTCCAGATCCCCAAGGAGGACTTCATACAGCACACAAAGGCAGCCAAACAAAGTGTCCTGGATGGGACTTCCAAATGGTCAGCAAAAATAACCATCACAGGTGAGAAGATCTACCTGTGCTTTGTCCTAGTACAATCCCTTTTTCCCCCTTCCCTTCCCTTCCCTTCCCTTCCCTTCCCTTCCCTTCCCTTCCCTTCCCTTCCTTGGATCCCCAGTCATGGACTGGGAACAGAGACAGCAAGGCGTGCAAGCGAGGGGTTCTTTGTGTGCTCAGAGTAAACAAGACTGTGCCACGTGATCGCTTCAGGTCCATGCTGGCTGCAGGCTGGGGGAGTGGCCTTCGTCCAGCAGGGGAGGGGAGCCAAGTTAATAGCAGGCTTACTATCCTTCCTGATGTCAGTATTAACATGCTGAATGTAAAACTAGCCATTTGGAGTTTGATTTTCCATGACTGCATATCCACCTTTGTGTGTTTTATACATTTTGGCATATTCTATTTAGACTTTAGCAGATACAAACACAAGATCATTGTGATACCTGCTGATTGACAAAGTCATCTAGCATACTGAGCTCCATGAGGTGTTACCTGACTAATGTGTGAGAGCTGAACAGTTGAGGCATTCAGCAACGGTCCCTGGGCCCATTTGAGTGCTCCGGATACTCAGTGTCAGAACACACGCAGGTGGGAGGCAACCCCATGCCAGGCTGGCATGGCTGTGGCTCCTTGGGGTGTGGAAGGGACTTCCCAGTCTGTGAATGTCCTGCAAGCTGAGTTGGCTAGAAGATCCATGGCAGAGAGGCTGGAGCATCTGAGGCTGGATCTTGAGTGGCTGCAAGAGGTCGTGCGGCTCCTTGGTGAGCTTGCAGGCCTCTGGATTCCTCAGGCGCAGAACCGCAGCTGGCCCCACCACCTCCCTTGGCACAGCTCAGTGTGACCAAAGGCCCTCGGCCACTGGATGGTCGGGACTCGTCATGCCAAGATAGGTAGCGAGTCCTGGGTTGCTGTTGCAGGGTGGAGGATCTGTTTGGGAAGCGCCTGCTCTGCCTGTGCAGGAGGTTGCTGGAAGCCCTTCCACTGAGGCCTTGGGGGACAAGTCTGGTGAAGAAAGCCCCTCCCTGGACAAAATGGGGGGGGGGGCTGCTGCTGTTAGAGTCATCAGCACTGAGCTTGAGGGTAGGTGGCTGGTCCGGCTCAAGAGGAGAGGAGAGGAGAGATGGCCGTGCCTTGGGCAGACAGATGTTCCTGGAAGTCTGCTTTCTGACAAGGATCGTCACAGCCTCCGCTCTTCCCTGGTCCTGCTTCAAAGGCTTCCCTTGCCTCCTGTTTGTGGGTGCCCTCTCTGGACGCCCCCCACGATGCTCTCGGGTCACCCCAGACAGGAAGTGGCTCAGCAGCAGCAGCACAGAATTGCAGAGAGGCACAGGCCGAGTGGGGCTGGGCTGGTCTGCCGGGGGGCTGGTCGCAGCTGGGGTGCGGCACCCCTGGAGGACTGTGGAGGATGCAAGCCTGGCCTGCGGGGGCGGTGCCGCCTCTGGCTGTCTTTCTGCCTCTGGCCTTTGTTCTGGCAGAGCTGCCAGGCAAGCAGGCAGGAGCCGATTCGGGGTCTGCTTCGGGCTGAGGACCAGCTGCTCTGGGGCTGCCTTCCTGCCCTGTAAACCTGGGAGAAGGGCTGGCTGGGAAGGCAGTGGAGATGCGGCGAGGTGCCCTGCCCAGCCACGAGTCCTGTGTGTAAGTGGGGTGATTGGAGTCGTCCTTTTCCATCACCTTGTGTGAAGCAGGCAGCGACCTGCTGAGGACCCCGAGAAGCAGCGCAAGTGTCCTCCCGCACCCCCTTCCGTGCAATCAGCCATTCGCCTCTGAATCAGCCCCCTGCTCAGGCCTGCTAAGTGAGAGCCTGGCGGGAGGGGGGCCTCCGATCCGCATCCGGGCCATTCCTGCTAGCAAAAACTCAAAGCATTAATTAAGTGCCTCTGTCTGGAAGCTTTAAATCACGCAGCTCCAGTTATAAAGCAGATCTTTGCTGGCGGGGAAGGGGAGCGGGAAGGCAGGCTGTTGTTTCTCACTTTCAGGGGCCCCTGCACGGTTCTGGCTTTCATGTCAGCGGAAAGATTCGTGCTGTTAAAAATTGCAATGGAGGAGACAACTGACAAGTGTTTGTATTTATAGCAGCATAAACACACATTAGCAATCATACATTCTGACATCTGCTTTCTCTGCGAGAGGAGAGTTCGCAGCTTCTCTCTCCCTGCAGGATGCAGCCCGCTCCCAATCCCTGCAAGTGGGGCATGCCAGGAGACGGCTGCACTTCGGTGACTTGCGCTCACCTGCAAGGCAGACCCAAGGATCCGACACGCACATCTTGCCCCGAAACCATGTCAGGCTTTCCAGAAGGCGCTCTTGGTGGGTGGGAGACTCTGGACCTCCCTCAGCCGCTCCGCTGTGGCTGGCCCTGGTTGTGCAACGTACCCATGGAAGCCCGGAACTTCTTTGTTGGGCCACTCCCTGAGCGCACAGACTTTAGGGATACCCAGAACATGGTGTGCACCCAAGGGGGTGCAACACCAGGTGACCAGCCAGGGCCAAGACCGACCCGTTTCACCCCCTGCCGTGCAGAGATTAGGCGGTTTGCTTCGTCCACTTCTTCTCTAAAAGAATCCTACCACTTCCTGGCTTGCTGAATACAATGCTGGCTCTCTGCACGGTTCGTACATCTCATGTTTATCTGTAACACAGAACCAATCTGCACTTGGTAGATTTTTCCCGCTCGGGGGGACATCCCCTCAGATGTGCCCAGGGCTCCTTTGCTTAGCTCATCACGGAAAATGATGCGTGTTTTATGTTGCTGCAGTTATTGCAAGTTTAACACAACCGGCCGGCTGCTCCCACCGCAAATGCAGCCAGCTGCAGGCACTAAGGTGAAAGCATGGAGGGACAGCCTCAGGATGTCCATTTCCTCCTGCAGGTGAGGCAGGGGCCCACCTGACGTACTGGCAAACCCTGAGAGGCTTCCAGAAATCCTGGAATCAGCCTGCTGTGCACTGTGAAGGAGGTGTCCAGCTGTAGCCATCTGGAAGCAGCTGTGTCTGTTCGAAAGGAGCTTCAGCTATTTGGAACCAGGGAAAGTTGCCTTTATTCCCAGAGTTTGGGTCACCCTGGTCCAGGAAGGCCACCTCAGTTTGACTGTCCTGTGGCTGTCCTGAGTCTCAGACAGGCAGAGAAGGGTCTTCCCATCCACGGGTGTCTCACCTTTCCAGGCAGAGGGGCTTGGGACTGAACCCGAGGGCCTCTGGGAACACATCTGGTGTGCCTGCCCCAAGTTCCGGTTCTTCCCCTTTGCAGAGGTGTCACGGTCTCCTGGGCCAACGCTGGCTCTGTATTCTGAGTTGTGATGCTCACTGTTCACCTTTGTTGCAGTGGTGTGTGCTCAGGGGCTGCAAGCAAAGGACAAAACGGGCTCCAGCGATCCGTACGTCACTGTGCAAGTTGGCAAAACCAAAAGGAGAACGAAGACTGTCTTTGGAAACCTGAATCCAACTTGGGATGAGAAATTTTATTTGTGAGTACTTCTAAGGTGCTTGCTTTGGTTGTCAGCGCCCTTCAGCATGCAGGGGCTTACCCTGATTTTGGGGCTTGGGAAAAGCCCAAAGCCATGAACTCCCTTCAGAGTCCCCACTGCCCTTTGAGCAGCTTCCTGCTGCAGGCGGCACTGAGGCCGGGGCAGGACTGCCCTGAGCAGCTTCTGGGAATCCTGGCAGCCAACTCTTCTGCTTCCCTCCGGGCTGTCCTGGCTTCTCTGCTTTGTTCTTTGGCTGAGGGCATTGCAGTGGGGACTTCTGGAGTAAGGGGCAGGGCAGGGCAAGTTCCCATGCCTTTGTCTCACCTGAGAAAACATCTAGGTTTGCTGATACATAATAACAGAGACGTAATTGAAGCAAAACACCAAAGCTGAGTGTGGCGTATTGCACTCTTAGAATCAAACCTCAGAATACTTAAGTATACATAAAATAAGGCCATTCAAAGCATTTGGTGGCTTTGCATGTAGCTGGCACTGCAGGTCTAAGTGTCCAGAAATGGCTTCTCTCCCTAGAATGTGTCTGGTGGCATTGATTGCCACGGCAGAGAGAAGCCACAGTCTGATTCACGGATCTTCTGTTTAATGTAATTGCATACTTTTCTGCAGTGGATTTTCTTTCTAGAGGTTCTCATTATGGTCTTGGGCACATAATTTATTAAAATGGAGCAATGTAATAATGGGATAGACACTTCTGGTCGCTAAGGGTTGAACTGTGAAAGCCCTCAGTGGTGGGTTGAGGTGTTGCTGTAGGAAGTTGTCCGGAAGAAAGCTGTAGCTTTCCTGGAGAAGTGGCAAAGCCGTCTTCCATGCCCTGTGGCCGATCCTCACATCCGCTCAGCTGGATCTTCTCATCAGTGAGGTGAGAGGCCTTCGCCAGGTATTTTCAAGATGCCTCTTACATAATCGTTTGCTCAGGGAAGCTGGCGTTTCTTTGCTTGGCTGTGCGTACAGAGCTGCTCTTTGGGAGTGGCAAACCCATTTCTGGATCTGCCTTCACTTCCGGCCTGCTGAGAGGAGAGGCAGAGGGCTGCAGGAGGATCAGGAAGAGGGACCTGGCGCAGGCTTTGTGGGGGCAGGGGGAGTCCCCACAGCGAGGACAGGAGAGCGAAGGCAAGCAGAGGGAGGCCTGACAGACATCTCGCTCAGACACCCAGGCTGGGAAAAGACCGGGGAAAACCGACTGGGGGACCACATTTGTTCATTTGAAAGGCAAGGCATGCCATGCAAGGCGAAAGGAAGAGGGAGAGGAGAGGGTGAGCCAACAGTGCTGTACAGCCACCAGAAGGGCAAGTGCTATTTTGGGATGCATTAACAGAAGTACTACTTCCAAATCACAAGAAGTGGTAGTTCCCCTATACTCCTCACTAGTCAGGCCCCATCTGGAATACTGTGCCCAGTTCTGGGCACTAAGATCCAAGGAAGGTGCAATAAACTTAGCGAGGACCTAGAGGAGGGCGACAAAAATGAGTGATGCCTCGCCCTGGACATGCTGCCTTCGGCAAGCACCACCAGGCCCTGGCGCCCACATGCCGCACGAGCACCAGGGCTGCAAGCGGCCAAGGGCAACGCTTTCAGAGGCCCCCCCAGGACTGGCCCGCCATTCCCCAGCCGCCCAGCTGAACCCAGCGCCCATCCCACAGGGCATCTGAGAAACCTGGCCAGGAGGAAGCCTGGCCTCCTGTCCCCACAGGCCACGGAGGGCACTTCCCGGCATAAGCAGAGACGTGCCAGCTCGCTCCGCATCCCGTGTCTACAGGAGCGGGGCCCAGGAAATGGGGGCCGAGCCCCATCCCTGGCTTGCACGTGACTCCGCAGCACGCAGAGGAGCAGGCAGCTGCCGGGCCACAGAAGAAATGTCTGCAGCGCACACGTGGCAATCACCTTCTCTCTGCCGGCCCCCCAGCCCTGCTCCTGAGAGACCGGGCACATCCCTGGCCTCCCTTTCCGCGGGTCCCGTCTTCCGAAGAGGCTGTGAGCTGAGAAGCGCCTGCTGGTCTGGCGCCAGCTGCCCCGGGCCACACTGGGCCCCTCGCATTTTCCTGTGCTGGTGGCTGAAAGACATGCAGCTGGGCCAGCTGCCCTCCCCACACAGAAGCCACCACTGCCTCTTGCAGCCCGTCTTCAAAAGCAAAGCTAGGTTATTTAAGGACCAAGCAGGGTCAAAGAAACAATTTGCATAATGCAAAATAAATCCATGCTTGTGATCAGAAAGCGTTACATCTGTGGCCGTTGCCAGTAATCTCAGAGGCTCGGGATGCAGCCCCGCAACTGCGGCAGGCCGGCTAAGTTGCTCGCGGACATTTAAGTCCTACGGCGTTAGTGGGAAGGCTGGCAGCCCCCGCCCCGAGAGCCAGCAGCTCCTTTGCAGAGCCAGCCAGAGCGGCCTCCAGGCTCCTGGGGGGGAGGGGGGCTTGGAACCACGCCAGGCTCCTCCGGCGTCCTGCAGCTGGCTTCTTGCTGCAGTGGCCACCTTCTCCTGCAGTGAATGGGCCCAGATCCCAGCATCTGCAGACACCCGTGGGCCCTCTGCTTTCCTGTTCTCCACCTCCTGGGCTTCCACCTGAAGCAGGAATTTTAGCCAGGAGGGAGAGAAGCTGCCGCCCACCCATCCTGTGCCTGTCCCTTGGAGGGGCCACACGTGACAGAATTTGTCTCCCAGCAGCTCTGAGCTGGCTCTGGGGCTGTTCTTCTGTTCTCGCCACAGGTGGCAGCCAGTCAGAGCTGTACGTAGCCCACACACATTGCTAGCAGCGGGGGCTCTTCACCTTCGCTCAGCCCAGACCGAAGTCAGTCTGCAGGAAGAGATCCCCGAGCACGTGCTTCCAAGCAGCCCCCTGCTCCATTTATGTGCAACCCCCCCCACCCCCACATCTGCTGCCAAGGACGAGCCAAGCAGTTGCAACTGGCCTAGAAGGCATGTGTTGGCGAAAGGAGCAATTTGCGGACCTCACAGAAAGCTCCCGTGTTTCTGTTATTTGAGTTAATTAACATTTATTTGCTTGTTTTGGGCCAAACAGCCAGCACGGGCGAAAGGCATTTATTGGTGCCAGATGGCAAATGGGAGAGAGCCAGCTCGGGAGGCATCCAGGCTCTGTGCAACACAGCTGCGGAGCATGGAAACGCAGGCAGCACTTCGGCTTGCCGGCACGTTGCTCTGCAGGCCATGCCAGGCGGGTGGTTGCAGGCCGGGGGAGGCCCTTGCTTGGGTCCCCCCAAGTCTCTGTGGCCCATGGGCAGGCAAGGAGGCTGTGATGAGGCAGGGGAGCCATGCGACGAGCGGACGGGGGCGGCTGCTGGGCCTCGCGGTGCCACCTCGGGTTTTTTGCAGTGGGGCTGGCTGGGGGGGGTGGGGGGTAAGCACGAGAGTTGCTTGGGAGAGCTATCAGTTGGGGCAGAAACTCAGAATTAAAGCTCGTAATCAGTGGCAGCTGCCTCTGGATGCAAATCTGAGTGTGGCGAGGGAGCCTTAGAGTGCCAAAGAAGCTGAGCCCAGGGAGGACAGAGTCTCCCTAGGTTGCTCCCTGGCAGGGTCACCTCAGGCGGAAGAGCCAAAGCTGAGACATCAGGCCAAGAGGCATCGCCCCTCCTCGCGCGTGCGAGTGGATGGGTCTGCAGTGCTGATGGGGTCGGGAGACTCTTCAGGGGAGCGGCAGCTGCCGGGTCGCAGCTGGAGGTGAAGGGGATGGGGCAGAGGATCCTGCACTGCGGCACACAAGCTGGTGAAAGATCTTGCATATCTTGGCATGGCCATCAGCTGCAGTCAGGAAGTTTGAAGAAGGCTGGGAAGGGCAGCAGTGAAGGAGCTAGAAAAGATCATCCAGGGTAAACACTTTCCACTGGAGACTAGAGCCATTATCATCCTTGGTCTTGTATTCCCGATCACTACATATGGGCGTGAAAGCTGGGCAGCAAATTAAGTTGACAGGAAAGAGATGGATGCATTTGAACCACGGTGCTGGAGAGAGCTTTGTGAGTGCCCTGGACTGGCAGAAAGATCATAGGCTCCTAGAAGAGTAGAGTTGGACGGGTCCACGAATGCCATCTGTCCAACCCCCTGCTGTTGCAGGACACCGAGTTGCACCATCCCACTACGATGGCTGTCCAGGTTCTTTGTGGATGTCTCTAGTGTCAGAGAGCTCATGACCTCTGCAGCACCCTGCACTCTCTGTGGATGGATGCCTCCCTCTTCCCGCAGCAGGGGGATTTGGCTGAACTGCCACCCCACTCCAGCCTGTGTCTTGTGCAGTCCAGATGGGCCTGCTCTGGCTTCTGTGCTCCATGCCTAAGATCTGAGCAAGCTAGCCCCTTCTCCATCGTGGGGTGGGGGGCAGGGGGACAGCTGTGGCCTTGCACCTTTCTATGTTCCAACATCTCCTTGTCAGAAAAGAAGGAATTAAGAGCAGGCTGGCAAAAGTGTCAAAGCTGGGTTTGTTTCTGCATTGGCCCGCATTTCTTCTTCAGTGAGGCAGGAACCCTGCTGCTTCCCATGAAGAGACACCAGTATAATCAGTCACCCATGAAAGAGCACGTCCTGAAACCCCAGCCAGCTTTTTGCATGTCTCTTTCTCTGAATCTCTGGCCCAGCAATGCATCCTGCTAGACATTCGGATTCTGAGACACCAGGATGTGCAAGCATGTGCGGCAAGCCACGCATTGGGTTGGTGATGGCCGCTTTCCAGCAGGAAAGTGAAGGGGCCAGTGAGCCCCTCTTGGCCCTTCCCAGGCACCAGCAGGCTTCCCTCCCCAGCCAGGACAGGTGCGCACCTTGCCTGATGCTCTCAGTGCCCCATCCCATGCACTGCAGGATGCGCAGGTGCCAGGTGTGCTCCCGCACCTCTCCTGGGGGATGGCAAGGTGGGAGAGGAGTGTCCCAACAGGGACCATGTTGCTGCTCATCAGAGTCCGGCCAGCACTGTCCGTGCAGCCCCTTCCCCAGGTGACCAGGAATCCTGAGCAGGCTGGACCTCAAAAGATCACTGCCCTCGTGGACCCTCCGGGATGTTGCGCACAGCGATAACTCTGGAACCATAAGCTGCTTTGTGCTCTTTTTCCCCAGTGAATGCCACAACTCAACAGACAGAATAAAAGTCAGAGTTTGGGACGAAGATGACGACATCAAATCTCGAGTGAAACAGCACTTCAAAAAGGAATCGGACGACTTCTTGGGACAGACCATCATCGAAGTGCAAACCCTGAGTGGAGAAATGGATGTCTGGTACAACCTCGGTAGGTGACCGCCTTCCTGGCGAGCGTCAGGATGCCCCGTTGCTGCCGTGGCAGGGTGGCCTCGCTGCGTGGCTCCTCGGGGCAGGAGCTTCTCCGCCAGCACACTCCTCTCCCAGCAGTCCATGAGGCCCTTGCCCAGGCCTCCTGCGTGCGCCCCTCTCCTCTATGCCCAGGCTTTTCCTGGGGGTCTGCCTCCACAGCCTTCCTCCTGCACCTTGAAGAGAGACAAGCCACGGCAGCTCCTGTCTGAGGGTTTCTGCAGGAGGCCGGCACAGGCAGCTGGCGCACCTTTCGGGAGGCAGGACTTCCTTCCCACATCCCTGCACAGTCGGCACAGGCCCTCCCCTGGACCAGGTGGGGGCAGGCGGGCCGCCGCTGCCCTGGTGCAGATCCCCAGAGCATGGCCGAGGGTGGCCTTGGAGTGCAGGGAGCCGCAGCCGTGTGGCCCCCTGAGCCTTCCAGCCGCCACAAGCTGTGTGCAGCAATGGCCAGTGTGACGCGGCCTTTCCCACTTTTCCCAGACAAGCGAACGGATAAGTCTGCAGTGTCCGGGGCCATCCGGTTGAAGCTCAGCGTGGAAATCAAAGGGGAAGAGAAGGTGGCACCCTACCATCTGCAGTACACCTGCTTGCACGAGGTATGTGGGGAAGGGCCTGTCCAGTATGCGGTGCTTGCAGCACCTCGGCGAGGGTCCCGGGGTCTCCAGAGGCCCTTCGTGCAGGCCGGGCAGTGCCTCTTTCCTGCCTGAGCCAGGCCCTGAAGGCGAACACGCAGCCCGGTGAGGGCATCTTCTGCACTGGGCGGGGGACGCAGTGGGGGGCAGGCGGTGGTGGGGAGGCAGTGGGAGGCAGCGACCCCACTCGCTTCCAGCTGTGCTGCTCGCCACAGGGGATGCTCCCCGAGCCCCTCAGCGCAGCCGTTGGCTGAATGTATGTGCCGAGACTTCCCCACCGGCCCGCAGACGGCCATTTCCCTTTCAGAATGTGCCTCCTTTTGCTCTTCCCTGCCCTCACCTGGGTTCCCTGACCCGCATCTCCCAGTCTGGCAGCCTTTCCGGGGGCCCTGGCAGAAGGGCTGGGGATAGATTGATGCTGGGTCAGGACCGGCTGCTCTTCCGGGCAGTGGCTACAAGGGCAGGGGAGCCTTTCCTTTTGCACTGTGGATGCCCGGCTGGAGCTCCAGGCTTTTCTTGTGCATCGTTTGCTGTTGGAATGATCATTGTAACTGAAGCACAGAAAATCTGGAATTTACGCAGTCCCTGGAAAAGCTCGAGCGTCACACCACTCCGTCTTCTGCAGTGGCACTTGGAGGCTGAAATGTCTAATTAAAATGAAAAATGTGTTGCTTTCAGAACCTCTTCCATTACTTGACGGAGGTAAAATCCGGTGGGACGGTGCAGATTCCCACCATCAAGGGCGACGAGGCCTGGAAGGTCTACTTCGACGATGCTGCGCAAGAGATCGTGGACGAATTTGCAATGCGCTACGGCATCGAGCATATCTACCAAGCAATGACGTAGGTAGCCCGTCCCCTCCCGTGGGAGGCCAGGGGAGGAGGGGAGAGCCCAGGAAGGCGGCCAGCGCGGCAGTGGCGACCCCTGGCCCCCCAGGCCAGCCAATGAGTCAGCTCCCTGCTGGTGCCAGCAGGATGCCAGGCAGATCTGCAGGCCTGGGGAGGGAGGCTCTCAGGGTGTGGGTGAAGGGCTCCCTCCTGCAGCCACTGCCCCCCACAGGCATTTCTCACAGTGCAGGCGGTCGGGAGTGCCCAGGCCCAAGAGCCAGGAGGGAGCACAGCATCCGGGGGCCAGGTGGGCAGCAGGCAGAGGAGGCTGGGTGCCTCCACCCTCCCATGAGCACCAGCCGTGGCTGCAAGGAAGTCACCCGGGCCTGCCAGGAGAGACCCTCGCTTGGAGCACTCGGCCCTGGGGAGGATCAGCCGCAGAGGGTGTGGGGCCTCGAGGGCCAGGGCCCCTGGGAGCAGCCAGGCGCTCCCTGTTGGACCCGCACATGCTGTTCCCCTGACCACGGCAGGCGCTGCTGCTTGTGCAGGGGGCCTCGGGCCACGCTGGGTTTGGACACGTGGGCCACACACAGGGCGGTCGGAGAAGCGGACCGAGCCCTGCTGGCCCTCCCCAAGTGCTGGAGGCCCCCCGCTTGGCCCACAGGGGCACAGCCCTCCTGCCCGCCGGGGGGGGGGGGGCGTCACAGCTGTGCCGGGGATTTCTCTGTGTTCGCATGCAGAACTCCCCTGCAGTTGTCCGTGGGCGAAGCAAGCGCCGTGTGGCGGAGCCGCATTCGAGGACAGCCACGGCCTCCCGAGGAAGGCTGCCTCTTCCTGCACGTTAGCAGCTGGCGGGGAGGGAGGCCTGCAGCGGCTCGCTTGGCTCATGCGGCCGCCACGAAGGCAGCCTTGCCGGAATGTCAATGAGGCTGGGAGCGGGGGGGGGGGGGGAGGCTCAGCGGCAGGGCAGAAATTTGCTGGACACCAGGCGATTCTGTTCCAGCACAGAAGCGCACCATCGTGAGGCGGCCCTGCCCAGGACAAGTGCAAAGCTTGCCGTAAAGGCTTTTATCGTTTCAGAAAGAGTGTGATATTTGCATACTAATTAATTTTCCCGGCACGGTCAAGCCTCCCCCTAACGAGTGCCTCTCACCAGAGGCACTGCAGAGGCAAAGCAGAACGGGCTGGCAAGCTGCCCTCCCGGGCGCCCAGCATCTTGGTGGCCGCAGCAGCCGCGTCCTGCCCTTGCCAGCGAAGGCCCGTCGGAGCGCCATGCAGGCCAGGCGAGCCGAGTGGCCCCCTGGCTGCCGCAGCTCCCTTCCTCTGGGTGGTTTGCGTTCGCCACCCTTGTGCCCTCCAGACATGCAGTACGCAGCCCCCAGGAGCCCCCAAGACCAGGCTTGGGGGAGGGGGTCTTCCTGCAGAGCTTTGGAGGCCCCCGGCTCAGTCCCATGAGCTGCGCTAGCGGCTGGCTCTGCCCCCTCCAAGCACAGCACTTGCTGCCTTCTCCTCTGCCCTGGCAGCCTCACTGTGCTCGGCAGGCATCCTGCCTTGGCCCCAGCTGCAGGACTCGCCACAGGAAGCTCTGCTTCTCCTGCCCGGTCAGGGAATTTGCTTGTTTTCAGCTTGCGGGTCAGTGCCCAGTCTGATGCGATGGTGGGGTGGCAGAGGGGTGCTTTCATTTAGGGTGCCTGAAGGGCTGCAGAGCCTTCCAGGGTGCTCCAAAGAGAAGCAGCAGACCAAGCTGGTGGCCTGGCCTGCCTGCCTGTGCCAGGCCAGCCCCTCCCCAATACTTGGCATCCGTGTGGTGCCCGCTGGCCCCACGGCGGGGAGGGGGAGAGGACAGATCCAGAAGCAGCTTAGCGCTACCCTGAAGATGGAGTGTGCGGGAGCAGGGACATTCAAGCCCAGACCAAGCATGCCTGGCGCCCCCGGCCGCCACCCACCAGCTCACCGGACCACTTCCAGCCCTGGGGACTCAGGTCTGACCCAGCAGGGCTCCTCAGCTGTCCCTCTCATGGCCTGAATGATCCTGGCCGGGGTGGTGGCGAGACACAGAGGAGAGCGCCTTGCAGGGAGCTCAGCATGGGGACCCGCTCCCCTGCCCTGAGCCATGTGGCACCACGTGCTCGGCATGGAGCAGGGAGCTGGGCCTCCTCGTTGATCGGCCCGTCCGTCCGCTTCGCCCTGCAGGCACTTCTCCTGCCTGTCCTCGAAGTACATGTGCCCCGGTGTCCCGGCAGTCATGAGCACCTTGCTGGCCAACATCAACGCCTTCTATGCCCACACCACGGCCACCACGAACGTGTCTGCCTCGGATCGATTTGCTGCTACCAACTTTGGGGTAAGCGCAGCCTCTCTTCCTGCTCCCAGCGGCTAGCACTGTTCCAGGCGAACTGGCCGGCTGGGCCTTGCTAGTTTGGACTTGGCCACCCCAGGCAGGTGTCCCCAGAGGCAGCTGCTTCTCTGGAGGAGCCAACACTGGGGATTGGGAGGTGGGGGCCAGACGGGCTGGGGACCGACAGGGGCCTGCTGCCCCAGGCGCTCAGGGACGATGTCTGGCCCTCCCCACATGGTCCGTCTCGGCTGAGGGGAGATCATGCAATTGTTGAAGCAGGATGCTGCTGAGCCTTGGCTCTGAACTGGACGATTGATTGATTGATGGCATTTGTATGCCACCCCATAGCCCAAGGCATCCCTGGGTGGCTCACAAGAAACACAATAATTCAATAAAACAATGCCATCTAAAACCACATAAAATCCAACTAATATAAAATGCAAAAGCAGGAGGATAATATAAACAACAGTGTATAACAGCAAATATATAAACAATATTTGCACTGAAAAGCAAATAAAATCATGGTTCTAGAAACGGGTACTAAATCACAAGGTCTGTACTTGGTGGCAAAAACAGAATGACGGGTGCAGCCCCTTCGGCAGAGAGCTGCAAAACTGAGGCACTGTAGCCGAGCCGCCACTTGAGCATTTGGAAAGCAGGCCGCTGCTCCTGCTGGCCCCGCTCTGCTGAGGGACTGAGCACCTTGCCGTGCTCATCAGAGGAGAGCTTTCCTGAGCGGCAGCCTTGGAACCCCAGGCAGGAGCCCCACTGGCTGCAAAGCGAGGGATGGCGCTGGGCGGGAAGATCAGGCGTTGCTCCTGCAGGTCGCTGGACTGATAAGAGCGGAACTGATTGTTTGGAAGAGAGGGATGGAAATAAGCCGCTACTGTGAAATGTGGTCTGTGGACGGACCACGTGATGCTCTAAAGAAGCGCTACGCTATACAGTGAGAGAACGTCGCTTAGGTCAGGCTTTCGTGGCATCGTGCACATCCTCTCCCGGGCCTGAGGAGAACGTTCCCAGGGAAGCCTGGCTTGGCCCTTCAGCGGCCCAGCCCCTTCGCCTCGATCGTTCTGCCAAGGAATGCCCCGGGCAGCTGCGGACACAGTCCCCGCCCAGCCTGGCACCACCAGCCGGGTGAAAGCAGCTCCCTGCCGCCGCAGGAATGTGCAGCAGCCCAGGGTGCAAGCCAGCCTGTGCCAAGGGAGCCCTTTGTTTCTCAGAAGGCCCCTCTCTTTCAGGACTGTGCCCTAAATCCATGGTGAAAAGTCCACGGGCATTTTTAGGTTTCACCCCAGTGGTTTAACGTGGCCTGTGTGCTTGTTATATAAATGTTGCTCGGCTGTGTACAAGTCTGCACAATCTCAAAGGTCCACACGGTGCAGGTTGGGGAAAGTGGGACAGGTGAAGCCTCCGGCAGTGGGTAGAATGCCCCCCCACCCAAGTCCCTGCTGCAGTTCCGGGACGCCAAGGCCCGCTGGCTGGCCCTCTTAAAGGCACAAATAATTGCCCGTCCTTCGAAAGCCACCCATGCTCCCAATGGGGAAGTTCAAGGCAGCTCTTGAAGATCAGATGTCATGGGTGGCCGCCAAGCCATGCAAGCTTCCTGCCCTTGCTCCCACTCACGTGCAGAGAACATTTTAATCTTAATCTTTGCAAGCAGAAGTCCTGTCTCTGCGACGTTAATGCTAATTTCCCTATGACGCAAATGCCGATCCAATTTGTGGTTCAGCAGATGGCTATCAAGGCAGCACAAGAATGGCCACTGCAGGAAGCCCCGTGCTAGATGGGGCAGGGCTTCCGAATGAAGCATCCCCCCTTTTAATGTGTGCGTTCTTTACAGTCTTTGGTACAGGAGGCCTGAAGGTCACTGGAGGAAAAACCCACCTTGGGACCCCCCAGCCATGCTTGAGTTCACAGGGGAGGCAAGCGGGAGGCCTCCATAGGATCAGGAACGAGGAACACGTTCCTGATCCTACCCTTTCTGGGAACCAGTGCAGGGCCTTCAGCCATTCCCCGAGAGTCTTCCCTACGCAGGGCTGGCTCAGCCCTGCCCTCCCAGCTGGCGTCTCCTGCGAATGCCTCCTCCTCCGGGGGGGAGTCTCCCCAAGAAGCAGGAGGAGCAGCAGCAGGTGGAGCATCGGGTGCCCCTTGGTGCCGGCCTTGCCTGCTCTGGCATTTGTGGAGAGGACGGAGAAGCCCACCCGCCTGCTTCCCAGAGCACTTCACGGGGCTAGCTCTTGGTATTACCCACAAGTCCGTGTTGCTTGCGTGTGTGTCTGTGTTTTTTCCTCCAGAGGGAAAAATTCATAAAGCTGCTGGATCAGCTGCACAATTCGCTGAGGATCGACCTCTCGAAATACAGGGTAGGCAAGGGCCCCCCTCCACCCGCTGCACGCCCCCGTCACGTGGCCTGGGCATCTGCCTATGCCCGAACCCAAGCCCAATCCTTTTCCCTGCCGGGCCACCGGAGCAGCGAGGGGCTTACAGGAGAACGGCACTCAGCCTCCCTTTCGAAGCAGCGCCATCACTTCCTTTGGAGCCAAAGCCCACAGCCACTGGGGGGGGAGGGAAGGAAGAGGAGAGTGGGGGAGGGGCTCAGGACAGACAGGTGTACGGGGTGCAGGGCTGTGTGTGTCCAGGGAGCCCCTCGGTTTAGGCTGGTTTGTAGGAGCCGCAGCTCACCATGCAGGCGAAGGACCGACAACTGGGCGCACACGGGGCTCTGGAGACAAAGTCGTGCTCCTGCACGTGGCCTTCCCAAGCTCAGCATGCCAGGAAGGTGCTTCTGGCGTGGAGCCCCTTGCTGTGCTACCCCGGGGTGTGCGCCTGTTTGCCGGCCTGGGCTGAGGGGCGCCATTTCCCTGCCGGAGCCCCGAGTCTGCCCTCGGTGCATCCCACCAGTCCCTCTGTTGTCCTCTCCGTATTTTGCCCAGCCCTGAAGCCAGTCTGACCCCGGCGGGCTGGGCCCCTCACCCGGACACAGCCCTTTACGTGAGAGAGGCGTTGGCCTGAGGCCGAAATGCTGGAGCGGCTTCCGCTTCCTGGCGGCTGGCTGCGGGAGGTCTGGGCTGCAGGAAATGGGGGGCTGGCATGGCTCGCCAGTGATGTGCCGGCTTCTTTTTCTCTGCACTTTCTTTTCTGCTCATGTACCAGGAAAATTTCCCTGCCAGCAATCCTGAGAGGCTCCAAGACCTGAAATCAACCGTGGACCTGCTAACAAGCATTACATTTTTCCGCATGAAGGTAATTCCAGCTCTTGCTCCTGACATGAGTTTCACCCCACGTGACCCTCTGGCTCTCCGGGAACGTCTCCTGGTGCTCGCGCAGAGGGCGATTCCTGTCCGGGGCGCATCGAGCACCCACAGGGTCACCTCTCGCTGCCCACCAGAGCACGGGGAGGGCGGGGTATTTGCAGGAGTGACTGCTTCCCGCACGTTGCCGGGTGGCAGCATTCAGCACGAGGGAGCTCCCGTTTCCTTCCTTGCCTGCATATGGACTTCAGAGCATAAGCAGGTTATACCTTGGGCATCAGATTCCTTAAGAACCTCCTAACTCTTGGAAGCCCCTGAATTCACCTGCAGCTCAGGGTCCTCCCGGGAGTCTTTCACTTGCCTCCTCTTACATGTGATCCAGCTCCTGAGCACTGGGGCACTTCAGAGGGGGTGGGGTTCTGGGCCCCTCAGGCTACACACCGTTGCCCCTGCAGTAACCGCGATTATCCTTGCATGTCCTGAGCATCCATTCTGGAAACCCACAACCAGGGCAAGCTCTGCTGAACAGTGGCTTGCACACTGCCTGCTGGCCCAGTTAAAGCCTCCTTTGCCCCCTTCATTGACCAGGTGCAAAACAGGCAGGTGGGTGGGGGGGGCTTGACTCTTGACTTCTGCTCCTGCGCCCTCCATCCTGTCCAGGTGCTGGAGCTGCAGAGCCCTCCCCGCGCCAGCGTGGTGGTGAAAGACTGCGTCCGAGCCTGCCTGGACGCCACATACAAGTACATTTTTGACAACTGCTATGAGCTCTACTCGCAGCTAATAGACCAGGTGAGCTCTCGGGGGCTTCACAGCCCCTTCCTCGTAATGTTTGGTGTTCGTTTAAGGTATTTTGATGTTAGGTGGCGGTATTGTTACCTAGCCTTTTGCAACAGACCAATTTCAAAGCCAGCAAAAACATCAAAAGGAGGCAGGCATCATAAAGAGCCATGGTGGCCCAGGAGAGGGTGCAAGGAAGGAGGTCACCTACGCAGGGAGTGTCCTGTCCACCCGCCCTCCTGTGATTAGCTTGGTAGACCTTCCAGGACCCTTGGCAGCGCTGGCACCTATGCTGGGAGCCAGCCAGATGCCCCGCAGGTCTTAGGGAGTACAACTCCCATAATCCCTGCCTGTTGACAATCAGATGGCCTTCTCTCCCCCTTTTGCCCACAGAGTAAAAAGCAAGATTTCCCCCGGGAGGAGCAGGGTCCAACCACCAAGAACCTGGACTTCTGGACACAGCTGATCACCCTCATGGTTACCATCATCGACGAGGACAGGACTGTCTACACCCCCGTCTTGAACCAGTAAGGGCAGCTGTCGGGGAGGGAAAGCGGCCATGCTGCGAGGGAGGGTGCTGTCTCTCCACCAGGTCTCCCAATGTCTGCACAACATCTCCAGGTGTTTTCTGCGCCCAAAAGTCTGGGGAAGAAATGAGTGGCGCTTGGAGAATTGCAGAGGGAAGGTGTGATGTGACTGGGAGCAGCCCCTGCTTTTGAACGGATCTTCAAAAGGAGGCTTTGCGCAGAATGTTTGTGCTGCCTGGTTCACTTGTTAGTGAGCTGACTGCTTGTGCAGCGGTCGCATGGTGGGTGGGACACAAACCTGGAGCTGTGGCCCGTGCCACGTCCGGAAGGGCCCCGTGGAGGGAAATACCTGCGAGCGGGCGCTGCCTGGGCGAGCAGAGCAGGCCTTTCCTCCCTGCACTGACTTCCCCGCTGCCTGCAGATGGGCGTCAGGAGAGGCCTGCAGTGCCGTGGGATGGTCTGCCCCCCTGGCTGGGCAGCGGCTGCCTCCAGTCGGACCACCAGCCCCCAGGAACGGCTGCCCAGTGCAGTGGCCCCAGAGCAGGGCAGCCACTGAATTCCTGGCCCCGGCTGCAAGGGTTGGGTTTGCAAAGGTGAGCCCCCCGACTCTTTCGCCTTCCCTTCCCTAATGCTGCCTTTGCGAGGAGCACCACCCAAGCCGGCCATCTTCTCTGCTGGTGCGCTCTGCATCCCCCGGGAATTAAGATCAGCAAATAAAGAGGATATTTTAAAAATGTCAAATTTGCATAGCACTTCTGAAAGCAGAATAATCCGGAAAAGATTATCTAGCGCCTAGTTGTGGAAAATGCATTAAAAGCTCATTCTTTCCCTTCACATGGAGCTGATGCTTCCGAGATGCTGTGGAATTGTGCAGGGACATGTCAAGGCAAGCCCTGGGCCCCCGCATCCCCACATTTGACAGCGAAAAGACAAGCTCCCTGTTGTTTGGATTCCCAGGGAATAAACACGCACACGCGCACACAGCCCAGCTGCCTCTTTCACAAGTGAGCGCAGGCCAGAAAAGGAAGCGCCCGTCTGTGCGTTCTCCAGATGGTTGCCTACACAGATGGTGCGGCTGCTCCCACTGCCAGATTTGGAGGAAGATGCCGTCCGCACGGCGGAGCCTGTGAGCCCGGGCTCTGCTGCGCGTGTGGAGCTTGCACAGGCGTCGGTGTGGGGGTGCTGGTGCTGACGGAGGGGTGCCTGTGCACTGCCTGGGCTAGCGCCCCCCCATCCTGGCCTCTTGCCTCAGGGTTCCTTTCATTTGGTACACTAGTGGGGCCACAGGGGAGGCTGAAGAAGCCGCACTCCCTTCGTGGTCGTGTGTGACACCCACCTTCTCTTTCTGACCGCGGTGCAGCAGTGCCCTCGGGTTTTCCCCGGGAAAATGTTCATGCGCGCCCACACATGGCCTCCACCAGGCTCCTTCCCAGGTGTGGGGTTTGCCCTGTGCTGCGTGGGCTGCCCTGCCGATGCCCACCCGAAGAGGGGGAATGCATGGCACATTTTCTTACCAGCAGTTGGCAATGCTGTGAAAAGCTTTCTGCTGGAGCCGAACGTGAAAGCCCCAGGGGGTTGCTTGGGTGCTGGGGCTCAGCACCCAGCTCTGCCTTGTACGCAGTCCTTTGCCACACCTCCATGGCAGCCATTTTGTGGCAGTGCCTCAACAGTTTCCCTGGTTGCCTGACGTGGCCATGGCCCATGAAGCTTGCCTGCCCTGCCCTGTGCTGGCCCCCTTGTCTTCCCAAGGAGTTCTGGGGGCAGTCCTTTCCGCACACTGCTGCCCGCCTGGGACTTGCTTCCTGCATCTCAGCCATCCTGTTATGAGTAAGCAGGTGGAGGAAACCAGCTGGAGTCACGGTCCCGCTCCTGCAGGGGTCCCGGTGCTTGGGAGGCCCCAGGCCACACTGGCCAGCACCACTGGCTGGACTGGCAACATCCTGTGCTCCGTTTCTTCTAGGTTCCCCCAGGAGCTGGATATGGGCAAAGTCAGTGCTGAGCTCACCTGGACCCTCTTCGCACAGGACATGAAATACGCCCTGGAAGGTAAGAGGGCAAAGTGCAGCCTGGGGGCACTGTGGGGGGTGGGGTGTCACACAGGGGCTTTCCACCACAGGGAGACCTTAAACCAAGGAGCACAAAGCAAGTTCAATAGCTTAGCAGATCTGGAACATTAAGTCCGATACGAGTTGGGCCTAAAATGTCTGGTGGACACTGTAATTTTATTTTATTTACAGCTGCAGTTTTATCAAATATTTTCTCTTTATTTTCTTGTGTTCCATTACAGAGCATGAAAAGCAACGGTTATGCAAGAGCACAGATTACATGAATTTGCACTTCAAAGTGAAATGGTTTTATAATGAATATGTGCGAGAGCTCGCCTCATTCAAAGATGCAGTGCCTGAGTACTCTCTGTGAGTGTCTGCATGCGCGTCTGCCCTGCCGGTGGGGGAGCTGGGGAGGGGTTGAGTATTGCAGAGGGGAGGAGAGAATGTCTCGAGCTCTTATTTTGTTTGTTGAGCTCTGTTTTCTTTAAATATTCGTCCAGTACAGCCTTGAAACCAGATCCCATTTAAGTCCATGCAGCGCACTTAGAATTTTAAATATCTTTCCTATGACTTTATCCTGTTTTTTGAGCAAGGGACAGAAGAATGGGGATCCCTTTCTCCGCGATGCAGTTCTTGTCTGCTGCTCTGAACTGAGTCCTCCTGCAGGCACCAGAAGCCTGATGGGAGCCGTGCCCAGGCCAGGAGGCCGCCTGGGCCAGCCCTGCCGCCGCAGGAGGCTGGCACTTTGGAATGGCTCCCGGGGCAGGAAGCAGCAGCGGCCTCCGCCTGCCCTGCCTAGCCCACTTCCTCCCCTGCCCCAGGCTGCACTTCCCTGCAGCACCCTCTTGCGGGCATGCCAAGGAAGGCCCATGCCATTGAGGTTGCCCCATGCCCAGTCTCCTGTCCATCAGCCTCGAGGCGCTGCTGCCACCGCCCCCACTCTCTGAGCAGGCTGGGCTTCCTGGCACCTCTCCCTCAACAGAGGCCGCAAGGCAGCAGCTCAGCCCCCAGGCCACTCCCAGGGCCCAGCAGCAGGCCTGGTGGACCGAGCACCGTCGGAGCGTTCAGGAGGAGGCCTGCTGTGGCACGCCTGCCCTTCCTTCCCCCTCAAAGATTTCCTGCAGTAAGGGAAACGGTGAGAGGAGTGGCGAGCAGAAGAGGGCAACATCGGGTGCGCCGTGACATGCTAGGAACAAGGCAGGGCTGAGGTGGTGCCATAGAAGGCCAGTCTGGAAGGGCCCATGAGGTTCATCAGGAGGACGCGTGTGATTTCGAAGGGACAGGGCTTGTCCGGCCAAAGTGGGCTGAGGCCCTCCCCGGTTTCCAATCCTAGATGGTTCGAGCCTTTTGTCATGCAGTGGCTGGATGAGAATGAGGACGTCTCCATGGAGTTCCTCCACGCTGCCCTCGAAAGAGACAAGAAAGATGGGGTGAGAGGCGCCGTGAAGCCGAGCCCCCGTGTCGGCCGTGCTTGTCATCCCAGTGTGGAGTGCTGGCACGAGGGTCCTGAGGGCCATGTGCCCTGCTGGGCTGGCCCAGCCGGGGGGGCAGGAGGGGCGGCGAGCCTGTGCCGGTGCCACTCCTGCCAGGTGCCAGCTCGGGCCGTGTGATTCTTTCCAAGGCCCAGTCCCACTGCGCTCCCAGTGAGCTCAGTGCAACCCCCAAGGAGCTGCTGTTGCAGCTATTTCTGGAGCACTGTTTTGGGGTGAGGCAGGAAAAGGAAGTCTGCAAAGGGGAATGGACACGGCCAGCCTTCTTTCCCAGGTGCGGTCCTGGTGGCGGGGAGCTCAAACTTACTGGCTGCCCAGAGAGCATAACACTAATGGGGCGGCTTTTGGACAAATCCGATCGGTACAGTTGCGGTGTGGCTTTCCCCTGTAGTTCCAGCAAACATCCGACCATGCGCTCTTTTCCTGCTCTGTGGTGGACGTCTTCACGCAGCTGAACCAGAGTTTTGAGATCATAAAGAAGCTGGAGTGCCCGAATCCCGAGGCACTGTCACACCTCATGAGGAGGTTCGCCAAGGTGAGTTTTCAGCACCTCATCTTGGCTGTGTCAGGCTTTGCAGGATCCTGTCCTCATCATATTTCAGAGCAGGTTCACTTTAAGCTCTAAAGTTCTTACTGCAGCTTTTACACGGTTTCTGAGGGACTTCCTTCCTCTCCTTGTCAGGGGAAGGAGCTATTCTAGCTCTCTGTCTCATCACAATCCATTCCCTCGGCAGATTTCTTGTCTATCCCGACAAGACCTGTGTTTTCTGGCTGGTCTAGAACACTGGGGCCACTCATAGGACAGTGAAGGTGCTCGGCACCTCCAAGGCAGGTGCAGGCAACAGAGAATCCCTGCTTGGGAGCAAGAAGCAAACTACCTGCTGGCAGGGCAAGCGTCCGCTCGGCAAAGCTGTAAATGGCTGCGTCAAAGGGCCAGACTCCCTGGCACCTTTCTTCACTGTCTTTCGCAAGAGCTCAGAGCAGCTTCTCTGAAGGGAGGCGTGCGATGCCACCGTGATGGAAGTGGGCCGAGGCAATGGCAGAGGTGCCTCCCGACAGCCCCGAGGTGCCACTCTGAGAGTTCCTGAGGGACAACTGAGACGTTTCTGCTGTCAGCTCCTCCCGCCTTTCTTCTCAGCTAGGCCTTTTCCTTGGTTCCCCTTCTGTTGCATGTGAGCGGATGGATAAGGACAGTTCTGTGGGGTTCCAAGGCAGGCTCTGCCCAGCCATGTCCCAGCTGCACTGTGGACAGTGATGGCAAACCTGTGGCACGTGTGTCGCAGCGGGCACACAGAGCCCTCTTTGTCGGAACGCAAGCCAATGCGTGCCAGCACTGCCCCAGCAGCCAAGCATTGGATAGCAGCAGACACAGGGGCCTTGCACATGCTCAGAAAGGCCTAGTGGTGCCAGGCGATGATGTCACAAGCCACGAAACATAAGCTGCGACATGTCCAACTTTCGCATGCCTGCTCAATGCGCTGCCAAGGAAATTTATATATTTGCTCGGACAGTCTGTTTTCATCTTTTATTGTAGTGTTGGCACTTTGAAATAAGTAAGCAGGTTGTTGGTTACAGTTTGCATATTTGATCGCTCAAAGATTCACCATCACTGGGTTAGGGTTATCAAAACGAGGTGCCCTGGCATGATTTTGATGGTTGGAATGTGTTCAGAATGGGCTGAAAAGATGAGCTGGGCAGAAAAAGCTACTCAAGGAAGGCTTTTTCAAAATGGCATTATTTTCAATGGCACTTTAGCCCTATATTAGGGTTCGGGGGTGCACCAAAGTAGGGTTAGGGTTAGAAAAACGTGTTGCCCTGGCATGATTTTGACTGTTGGAATGTGTTTGCAATGGGCAGAAAAGCTGAGCTGTGCAGAAGAAGCTACTCAAGGATGGCTTTTTCAATATTGCATTATTTTCAATGGCACATTAGCCCTATATTAGGGTTCGGGGGTTGCACCGAGGTAGGGTTAGGGTTAGAAAAATGAGGTGCCCTAGCATGATTTTGATGGTTGGAATTTGTTTGGAATGGGTAGAAAAGCTGAGCTATGCAGAAAAAGCTAGTCAATGAGGGCTTTTTCAAAATCGCATTATTTTCAATGGCACTTTAACCCTATATTGGGGTTGAGGGTGGATGCACCAAGGTAGGGTTAGGGTTAGAAAAACGAGGTGCCCTGGCATGATTTTGATGATTGGAATGTGTTTGGAAATGGCAGGAAAGCTGAGCTGTGCAGAAAAAGCTACTCTAGGACGGCTTTTTCAAAATAGCATTATTTTCAAAGGAACTTCAGCCCTATATTAGGGTTGCGGGGATGCACCAAGGTAGGGTTAGGTTTAGAAAAACGAGGTGCCCTGGCATGATTTTCATGGTTGGAATGTGTTTAGAATGGGCAGAAATGATGAGCTGGACAGAAGAAGCTACACCTGGAAAGCTTTTACAGAATCACATTATTTTCAATGGCACATTAGCCCTATATTAGGGCTAATTAGGGCTATATTAGGGTTCAGGGGTGCACAAAGTTAGGGTTAGGGTTACAAAAACAAGGTGCGCTGTCATGATTTTGTTGGTTGGAATGTGTTTGGAATGGGCATAAACGATGAGCTGGACAGAAGAAGCTACTCCAGGAAGGCTTTTTCAAAATCATATTATTTTCAATGGCACTTTACCCCCATATTAGGCGTCGAGGGGTGCACCATGGTAGGGTTAGGGTTAGAAAAACGAGGCACCTTGGCAAGGTTTTGGTGGTTGGAATTTGTTTGGAATGGGTAGAAAAGCTGAGCTGTGCAGAAAAAGCTACTCAAGAAAGGCTTTTACAAAATCACATTATTTTCAGTGGAACTTTAGCCCTATATTAGGGTTAGGGAAGTGCCCCAGGGTAGGGTTAGGGTTAGAAAAACGAGGTGTCCTGGCATGGTTTTGATGGTTGGAATGTGTTTAGAATGGGCAGAGATGATGAGCTGTGCAGAAAAAGCTACTCAAGGATGGCTTTTACAAAATCACATTATTGTCAATGGAACTTTAACCTGATATTAGGGTTAGGGGTTTTCACCAGGTTAGGGTTAGGGTTAGAAAAACGAGGTGTCCTGGCATGGTTTTGATGGTTGGAATGTGTTTAGAATGGGCAGAGATGATGAGCTGTGCAAAAATAGCTACTCAAGGAAGGCTTTTATAAAATCACATTATTGTCAATGGAATTTTAGCTCTATATTAGGGTTTGGGAAGTGCACCAGGGTAGGGTTAGGGTTGGAAAAACGAGGTGTCCTGGCATGGTTTTGATGCTTGGAATGTGTTTAGAATGGGCAGAGATGTTGAGCTGTGCAGAAAAAGCTACTCAAGGAAGGGTTTTACAAAATCACATTATTGTCAATGGAACTTTAACCCTATATTAGGGCTAGGGGTTTTCACCAGGTTAGGGTTAGGGTTAGAAAAATGAGGTGTCCTGGCATGGTTTTGATGGTTGGAATGTGTTTGGAATGGGCAGAGATGATGAGCTGTGCAAAAATAGCTACTCAAGGAAGGGTTTTACAAAATCACATTATTGTCAATGGAACTTTAACCCTATATTAGGGCTAGGGGTTTTCACCAGGTTAGGGTTAGGGTTGGAAAAACGAGGTGTCCTGGCATGGTTTTGATGGTTGGAATGTGTTTAGAATGGGCAGAGATGATGAGCTGTGCAGAAAAAGCTACTCAAGGATGGCTTTTACAAAATCACATTATTGTCAATGGAACTTTAGCCCTATATTAGGGTTTGGGAAGTGCACCAGGGTAGGGTTAGGGTTAGAAAAACGAGGTGTCCTGGCATGGTTTTGATGGTTGGAGCGTGTTTAGAATGGGCAGAGATGTTGAGCTGTGCAGAGAAAACCACTCAAGGAAGGCTTTTAGAAAATTACATTATCTTGTATAGAACCTTAGCCCTATATTAGGGTTAGAGAAGTGCACCAGGGTAGGGTTAGGGTTAGAAAAACGAGGTGTCCTGGCATGGTTTTGATGGTTGGAATGTGTTTAGAATGGGCAGAGATGATGAGCTGTGCAAAAATAGCTACTCAAGGAAGGCTTTTATAAAATCACATTATTTTCAATGGAATTTTAGCCCTATATTAGAGCTAGGGGTTTTCACCAGGTTAGGGTTAGGGTTAGGGTTAGAAAAACGAGGTGTCCTGGCATGGTTTTGATGGTTGGAACGTGTTTAGAATGGGCAGAGATGATGAGCTGTGCAGAAAAAGCTACTCAGGGATGGCTTTTACAAAATCACATTATTGTCAATGGAACTTTAACCCTATATTAGGGCTAGGGGTTTTCACCATTTTAGGGTTAGGGTTGGAAAAACGAGGTGTCCTGGCATGGTTTTGATGGTTGGAACGTGTTTAGAATGGGCAGAGATGTTGAGCTGTGCAGAAAAAGCTACTCAAGGATGTCTTTTACAAAATCACATTATTTTCAGTGGAACTTTAACCCTATATTAGGGCTAGGGGTTTTCACCGGGTTAGGGTTAGAAAAACGAGGTGTCCTGGCATGGTTTTGATGGTTGGAACGTGTTTAGAATGGGCAGAGATGTTGAGCTGTGCAGAAAAAACCACTCAAGGAAGGCTTTTATAAAATCACATTATTGTCAATGGAATTTTAGCCCTATATTAGAGCTAGGGGTTTTCACCAGGTTAGGGTTAGGGTTAGAAAAACGAGGTGTCCCGGCATGGTTTTGATGGTTGGAACGTGTTTAGAATGGGCAGAGATGTTGAGCTGTGCAGAAAAAGATACTCAAGGAAGGGTTTTACAAAATCACATTATTTTGAGTGCAACTCATCCCGATATTAGGGTTAGGGAAGTGCCCCAGGGTAGGGTTAGGGTTAGTAAAACGAGGTGTCCTGGCATGGTTTTGATGGTTGGAATGTGTTTAGAATGGGCAGAGATGTTGAGCTGTGCAAAAAAAGCCACTCAAGGAAGGCTTTTAGAAAATTACATTATTTTGTATAGAACTTTGCCCTATATTAGGGTTAGAGAAGTGCACCAGGGTAGGGTTAGGGTTAGAAAAACGAGGTGTCCTGGCATGGTTTTGATGCTTGGAATGTGTTTAGAATGGGCAGAGATGATGAGCTGTGCAAAAATAGCTACTCAAGGAAGGCTTTTAGAAAATCACATTATTGTCAATGGAACTTTAGCCCTATATTAGGGTTTGGGAAGTGCACCAGGGTAGGGTTAGGGTTGGAAAAACGAGGTGTCCTGGCATGGTTTTGATGGTTGGAATGTGTTTAGAATGGGCAGAGATGATGAGCTGTGCGGAAAAAGCTACTCAAGGAAGGCTTTTATAAAATCACATTATTGTCAATGGAACTTTAACCCTATATTAGGGCTAGGGGTTTTCACCAGGTTAGGGTTAGGGTTAGAAAAACGAGGTGTCCTGGCATGGTTTTGATGGTTGGAATGTGTTTAGAATGGGCAGAGATGTTGAGCTGTGCAGAAAAAGCTACTCAAGGAAGGGTTTTACAAAATCACATTATTGTCAATGGAACTTTAACCCTATATTAGGGCTAGGGGTTTTCACCAGGTTAGGGTTAGGGTTGGAAAAACGAGGTGTCCTGGCATGGTTTTGATGGTTGGAATGTGTTTAGAATGGGCAGAGATGTTGAGCTGTGCAAAAATAGCTACTCAAGGAAGGGTTTTACAAAATCACATTATTTTCAGTGGAACTTTAGCCCTATATTAGGGTTAGGGAAGTGCACCAGGGTAGGGTTAGGGTTAGAAAAACGAGGTGTCCTGGCATGGTTTTGATGGTTGGAACGTGTTTAGAATGGGCAGAGATGATGAGCTGTGCGGAAAAAGCTACTCAAGGAAGGCTTTTACAAAATCACATTATTGTCAATGGAACTTTAGCCCTATATTAGGGTTAGGGAAGTGCACCAGGGTAGGGTTAGGGTTAGAAAAACGAGGTGTCCTGGCATGGTTTTGATGGTTGGAACGTGTTTAGAATGGGCAGAGATGTTGAGCTGTGCAGAAAAGGATACTCAAGGAAGGCTTTTAGAAAATCACATTATTGTCAATGGAACTTTAACCCTATATTAGGGCTAGGGGTTTTCACCAGGTTAGGGTTAGGGTTAGAAAAACGAGGCGTACTGGCATGGTTTTGATGGTTGGAATGTGGTTAGAATGGGCAGAGATGATGAGCTGTGCGGAAAAAGCTACTCAAGGAAGGCTTTTATAAAATCTCATTATTTTCAATGGCACTTTAGCACTATATTAGGGTTCGTGGTGTGCAGCTGGGCACAGTTAGGGTTAGTAAAACGAGGTGTCCTGGCATGATTTTTATGTTTGGAATGTTTTTTTAATGGGCAGATATGAGGAGCTGGGCAGAAAAAGCTACTGAAGGAATGGTTTTTCAAGATCGCCCTCTGTTTAATGGAGCTTTAGCCCTATACTTTGGTACCTTTGCTCACAAACTTAATCCTTTCCAGGACTGTGGTCGTGACCCAAATTGGTCGTGACGCAAATTAAATTTCCCCATATGGTTCGATATAAATAAGGTTAATCCATTCCATAACCATTTTTTTTAATCAGGAAAATGTGAAGCAAATTGACAAAGAACAAGAAAGGTTGAGGCCATCTCCCCGCCCCCACCCACAGCCCTGCTGCGATTGTGCCTGTCATTCCTGCGCGTGCCCATCATCCCATCAGACAGGCGCAATCGTGGGCCCACTGGGGCAGAGAGAGACGGGCGAGAATGGGGCGTGCTGGGGGTCAGAGAGAGGGGTGCGATCCCGGCCTTCTCCCCGCCCACACCCCCAGCTCACTCGAATGCGTGGGGAGATGGCTTCGATCTCGGTCACCACGCAATGAGGAGTTCGTGACCCACGTCAAAATTTTCATGAAATTTTTGTTCACGACCCAACATGGTCTGGGAGCATGACAATTTTATCTTGAATTATTTTTTCCACCAATTTTCCTGGAACAGATATTGAGATAACCTACTTGCCATGTCCCAGATCCCTGCTTTGATCCCCCTTTAAAAATTTGTGTTGTGTTATTGCAGAGACTGATCTTAGCTACGTGATTCCTGGTTTTATTAGATGATCAGCAACTGCATGTTTGATTCCTTAAAGAACTGAGGTGGATACTACCCAGGCCTAGCAATGTGCTCGCTTTTGGCTTGTCCAGAAATTCTAGAACTCTGTTTCTGTTCAGCACTGTTTGAACTTCCTTCCTGAAAATATCAGTTTAGGTGTGGATCTCTGCCCCGTGTTGTTCACGCCAACATTCAGATAGTAACATTCAGCTGCTCTGTTCTCTTTTGACTCCCAGCTTTGCCCGCGGAAACCAGAAGTGGTTTCACATTGGGCCAGATGAGGCAGGCTCAGCTAGCAGGTTGCCATTCCACTGTTGGGAATGATGGGGCGGGGGCACAATCCCACCCCTCAGCTTAGTGGACAGGTCAAGCCAGGGAATGAGACTGGCTCCAGTGATGGCCGGGTGTGGGGGGCTCCCGGGAGGCCCTTTCCTGAGCAAATGCCCCTCAGTCGATTACTGCCCTCCCGTTTTTTTGTTGCAGACGATCCATAAAGTGCTCACTCAGTATGCTGCTATCATAACAAATGATTTCAGCTCTTACTGTGATAAGGAGAATGTGGTGAGTAAAATTGAATTAGGGTTCCCTCAGTGTTCGCTCTGCAGCCGTCAGGTGGCCAGGAGAGGGGAGGGGAGGGGAGGGGAGAGGAGAGGAGAGGGGAGGCCTGCCAGGGAGGGCTGCCCTGGCTGGAGCGCCTCCGGGGGCAAAGCCTGCCTGTCTTTGCTGTGTGGGGACCAGAGTGTGCTTGGCTGGGCCTTTTCCCAGTCTCAGCTGCCCCGCAGTGCTGCTGTTCCTCCTGGAGGGGGCAGCCTGCCCGAGCCGCTGCTGCTGCTTCTTGGATTCCTTTCTTTGTCAGCACAACCCCTGTTCACCTGGATGCCTCGTTGGGCCGCTGTCCCCCCCCCACCCTTTCCCTATCACCAGGCAGCTCAAAATGATGCTCCGGAAGATGCCACTCTGGGAGGTTTCCACGGCCACAAAATGAGCCAGTCGGGGTTGTCACTGGGCAGCGAAATCCAAGGGTGTGGGACAGAGATGCAGGATGCAGGGAGAATGCCGAGGCAGGGCGGGCGCCACGGGCGGCTTCCAGGGCTTGTCCAGCCCCCACGCCCCGATCTCAGGGACCGCTTAGGAACTGTGCCAGGGAGGAGCGGGGGTGGCTTTGCCAGGAGGGACTGCGCCTCCACACAGGGGTGGGGGCTGTGCTGAGTGGCTTCGAAGCCCACATGAGGCCTGCCCCGTGGCAGCCACATTAGCTCAGGGTGCCTCGCACGGGGGCTAGGCTGAGGACACAGACCGACCTTCCCACCGCCCTCGGAGCGCAACCAGGGAGGGCAGCCTCTGCCCCTGTTGCTCGGTGTGAGGGGCCCGCACCTAGCCCCAGCCCCGGTTCCTGTTCCAGAACAGCAGCCCCCCCCCTTGGCCCTCCCCGCCCCCAAAGCCTGCTGGCCCCAGTGGTCTCTTCAGGACACTCACAGGGTATCTTTTGCCTCCAGCCCTGCATCCTGATGAACAACATCCAGCAGCTGCGAGTCCAGCTCGAGAAGATGTTCGAAGCCATGGGGGGGAAAGAGGTGAGTCAGCCCCACAAGCCCGTGCCGCCTGAGGACTCGAGGGCGGGGGGGAGGCAGGCCCCCGGGGCGTTCGGGGGGTGTCCCTGCAGATGGAAAAGTAGCAAGGCAGGCAGCCTTCTGCCGAGCCCTTCTGCAGGCTGAGCTTCATGTCCGGCTCACCTGGCCAGGAAGTTCTGGCAGGGGCAGCTGTGCCGCCCCCCTGGAAGAGGGGCAGGACACTCACGGGGCTCACCTGGGGGGCACAGCCAGCAGCAAGCCTGTCCGGGAAGCACACGTCATCGCGGTGCTTGCACACCTGGAGCAGCTGGAGGCTTGGGGAAAGCTCCTCTTCCCCCAGCACTGATTGGCTGCTCCCTGGGATGTCATGAGCCCGTCCCTTGCCCCCCGCTCGGGAGCAGTTTTTTTCTCGGCGGGCCCATTGCTTTTCCTTGGTTTTTCACACTCTTAGCAACTCGTACTGGGTTTCGAGCTCTTTTGTTTTTAAGGGAGCAAGTATCCCCCAGAAAGAATAAGCGCACGTGCCATGCATTAAAAAGGCGGGACTCGAAGGCACTTACCACAGTGGAGGAGGAGGCGGCGGCGGCGGCAAGGCACTCTGGCTCAGCCCCTGGTTGGCCTGTGTCCCCCTCCCCAGTGGGCCCAGTGCCCCTGGAGTGTGTGCCCCGTGCGTCCGACCCATGTGTCGCCACACTACGCGGAGGGCGACTGCTGCCGGCCAGGGCTGCCCGTGGCGGGAGGAGCACCTCGTGCCCCCTGCACGCGGCCCACGCGGCGACGTTCTGCGTTCTGTCCCGGTTGGCTGCCGCCACCGCCGCCGCCTCCAAATGGAGACCCCTCGGGGGCCGGTCATCCCAGCGCTGCCGGGGCCTGCCCTCGCTGCCTGAGGGGTGGGGGGCAGCCCCGGGCTGCGCCTTTCTGTAACGTGTCCTCCTGTCTTTGTCCAACACCTTGACCGTGCCATTCCCCGAGCAGAAGCAGGAAGGAGCGTGGTTCTCTTACGAGGTTTGTGCTCGCAAGCATCTTCACTTCTCTCTCCTGCACTGCGAGGCTCGTGTGCCTGCTCCGGCGAGAGCATCCGCAGGCGATGCTCAGGCACCCGAAAGAAAGATCCGCGGGGCCTCACCCGATGCGGCGGATCTTTCTGAGGACGGAAGGGTGGCTCCTCGGTCCGACCGCATGTCACCACAACCCTGCCGTAGGGAAAGGCCCGGCACCTTTCCACAGAAGCACCTGGGCTTGCGCCGGTTTGATGCCACCAGGGCACTGGGCTGAAGCCAGGCGTGGCGGGGCAGAAGCAGGGGGGGCGTGGGGCAGCAGCCGCCAGAAGGGAGGCCGACAGGCTCCCCCTCCTCAGGCCCAGAGGGACCGCTGCGAGGTTCGTGCATGGGCAGACCCCCTCAGGGGAGAGCCGTTCCCCCGCCAGCTGCGCCTTGGCTTTCCTATGCCCCCTCCATCAGCGGTCCGCACCCAGCACACACTCACGGGCTTCCCCGCCACCTTCCTGTACGAGCACCTCCATTGTGTCACTCGGCACTGGTCCCCACCCACCGCGGGTACCAGCACATTGATAAACGAGCCCCTCGGCTTGCCTCCCCCCGGCCACACACTCCGCAGCCCTGCCACTCCATACCAGAGGCTGCGAGCCGAGAGGGAGTTCTCCCTGGTCCGGCAGATGCCCCCCTGCGCCCACCAGCCCGCTCTGTGGAGCAAGCAGGTCGTCCGGCGGGCCCTTCACGCCTGGGGTGACGCTTCCGTCCTCGCCTGCCCTCCGCGAGGGTTCTGCCAGTGCTCGCATGGGCCACGGGGACTTGGGTGGCCTCTTCCCCCTCCCATCACCCACCGGGCAGGCTCGTCCCCAGCCCCGTGGCGCTTCAGGCGCCCCCAGAGGCAAACGCCCTGTTTGTGGTGTCTGTCAGCTGCCAGGTCTCTCCACGGCAGCAGCCTCCCCTGTGTGAAGGGCTCGGGCTGGTCGCATGGACATGGGAGGCCACGGCTTCAGACCGGCGTGGCGCTGCTCTGTGGCAGCCTTCTGGAGAGGGAGGCCTCGGTGCCCTGGGCTCCCCGCAAGGCTCCGCCGCATGCTAGGGCGAAGAGAGCGCCCCCCACCCCAGATGCGGAGGGAAGCCTCTGGCCAGAGGCGGCCTTTTCCCGAGCGCTCCTTCTGCATGCCCCGCGCTCCACAGGCCAGCTGTGAGCAGGTGGGGGCCGCGCAGTCCATGCAGGTGCGCCTGCGTCCCGGCAGGAGGCCACAGCCCTTGTGCGCAGCTGCCCAGTCTCTCCAACTTTGCAGCCACAGCCAGGGCCCTGCTGCCGCCCCGAGGGCCAAACATCAGCCGCTTCCCCTTCCCCGTCCGCAAGCCTCCCCCTCCCCTCGGGAACAAGCATGCCCGCGCCTGCCGCACACTCCTCCTCATCCTCCTCTCTGCTGGATGCTTCTGCCTGCACTAATGCAAACCAGCGTGGAAACGCCTCCCTCCCACGGGCATCGAGCCGCGTGGCGGACTGGGGATCGCTGCCTCGGGCGGCGGCGGGGTGCCGGGTGCGAGAATCCTGTGCTTTGGGCTGGGCTGGGCTGGGCTGGGCTGGAGCTCCATGTCCCCCTGCTGTAGACACTTCCAGGGGCGGCCTGGTCTCTGCTAGAGGTGGGGGGGCACGGTCTGAGCCCCCACATGCAGCCCTGCCCTGCTGCAGTGAGGCTGGGCAGGAGGAATGCTTCGTGGTGGGCCGGGCCCGGCGTTCCGGCGGCCCCTTTTGGATTTCCTGCTTTCAGCAGCAGACTGGCCCGGGGCTTCCACGTTGGTTTCCCATTCGTGCCACCTAGTAGATGGTTGCCTTTCCCCTTCCTGCCAATTGTGGCGCGAAGCAGCCACGGGAGAAGCCAGTGGAGGGGAGCTGACCTCCTCCGTGCCTTTTCCAGCTGGACCCAGAGGCCAGTGGAGTCCTGAAGGAGCTGCAGGCCAAGCTCGGTGGCGTCCTGGATGAGCTCAGCGTGACGTACAGCGCCAGGTGAGCCGCGCCCCCCAGGCCCTGCCTAGCACCACCAAGGGGGGGCAAGGGGGCGGGTCGGCCAGCTGGGGCAGCTCCCCTGCACTGCAGTGTGCCAGGGAACACCAAGGGGCTCAGCTGCCAGGGCCCCGGTCGGCACGGAGAACACCGCCCCAGAGGGCCCTTGGGGTAGGGTGCCTCTGAACGCACTGGCAGGACCCTCAAGAGGAGTATCTCAGATTGTGTAAGTCGCTTTGTCAGGTTTCTAAGACTATAAAGATGTTGATAAGAGATGCTTCTGGGTGCCAAGGATGCTTTCAGCGGCGTGTCTGGTGTGGGGAAGCGGGGGAAGCAGGGCCGGATCCAACCCCAAGCTGGGCTGGGGCCGGTGCGCAGGACGGGGAGCGTGACGGCGAGGCCAGGCGGGGTCCCAGCTGCCCCTCTCCCTTGGGGCCCTTGCAGCTTCCAGGCGGTGATCGAGGAGTGCGTGCGGCAGATGGGGGCCGAGCTGAGCCAGCGGAGGGGCAGCGGAGCAGCCGCCGAGCAGAGCAGCAGCGTGATGGATGCGGAGCTGGTGCTGCGGCCCCTGATGGATGTCCTCGATAAGACGTAAGCCATGCGGGGCCCCAGACGGAGGCGGGCCAACGGGGCCCGTTCTGCCGTCCCTCCTGTGGCTTTCGACGGGCGTGTGGTGGTTGGGTGCAGGGTGCCCGTCCGGGGCCCGCAGCCTCGCCAGGGCCCGTGGGCGCCTCTGCCAGGCCCTGCCACTCCCCGTCGGAGGCAAGCGGAACTCGGGACCACTGCCAGGCACCACCCAGGTGCATCCGGTGGCTCTTGGGGGGGCCGCCAGTGGGAGGTCAGGACCATGAAGACGCGGAGACGGGTGGTGCAGGCTCGCTGCAACTCGAGCATCCAGGTGCCATTTCTGGTCCCCAGTGCGCCCCCCTCACGCAACAGGCCCCCACCCACCGCCCAAATACCTTCGCGGGGGGGGGGGTCTTGTTGGCAGTTGCAGTGCAGCCCTGAGGGAGTGGCACCGACTGTCCTGCAAGTGGTACTTGACCCTGTGTGCCCCGGGGGAGCAGGTGCAGCCGTGGGCTGTTCTGGGCCCTTTTTCCCCAGAGCTGCAGGGACCAATTCCATGTGGCTGTGTCCCACCCTGGGTGCCCTCGCCATGCGGGAGAGCCCCGCGGGGGGCCAGAGAAGGCTGCCTGCCCCAGGAGCCGAGCGGGGACCCTGGGCACATGGGGCACCTTCTCAGCAGCCACCACCAGCATGCATGGCCCTTTAGCCCCCGCGCCCCCCTAGCCTTGCTGCTTCTTGTCTCAAGCAGAGGCTGAGACGCACCATGCCCCCCCACCCCGCCGGGGCTGATGAGGACCGGGAGCATTGCAGGTCTGCACTCAGGGATGCCTTCCTTTCTTCGCAGCTTAAGTGTCTCTGCCAAAATATGCGAGAAGACCGTCCTGAAGCGGCTCTTGAAAGAACTTTGGAAGCTGGTCCTGAACAAACTGGAGAAGCAGATTGTGCTCCCGCCGCTGACGGAGCCGGCGGTAAGTCTCCCAGCTGCTCAGCGAGCAGCCATGGCAGCACGGTTCATCCAGAAGGCGGGAGGTCGTTTGGAAACGCAGCCCTTTGGCCCTGGGACCTGCGCAGGCTGGTGGGCGAGTGCCCACGGCCAGCGCCTTCCACCGCCAAGACCCCCAAGTCTCATCGAAGAAGGCTCCGGGGCGAGCCACTCTGCAGCGCTCTTTGGAAAGCACCATCTCTGAAGGAGGACGGAGGCCCCCGGGCAGCCCCCAAGGTGTTCTCCTTTGAAGGCATCCAGGGCGAAGCCAGCTCAGGGGGAACTTGCCCCAGAGATGTCCAGTGCAGCCATCTGCCCACTGCCGAGCGGCAGGGGGGTCCCGGGGGAGGCAGCCCTCGTGGTCTGGAAGTCCAGGGCCCAGGTGCCGGTGGAGTCGCCTGCTGGGGATGCACTGCCAGCCAGCCAACCGCAGGGGCTGAGCAGGGGCTGCCCTGCCCACCCGCCCCCTCCCGCATGCACGCAGGGAAGAGGCACCCAGCCACAAGCAGCTGCTTTCCCCAGCGGTAGAGCCTGCCGGGGAACCTGGGCGTGCCTCTCTGAGGCTTGCTGGCCGAGGCGAAGCACCACCCCAGGGAGGGCGAGCGGAAAGCTGGCCGCAGAGCAGGAGGCCTCGGCCCCGGAGGGAGGAGCGCCCCCGCCACACACTCTCACCTCCGCCGGTTTTGTTTCTGTCCATAGGGCGGCCCCATGCTCCTCAGTGCGGCCAAGGATTTTGGCCAGTTGTCCAAGCTGAAGGTGAGTGAGCCCTCCCCACAGAGAAGCAGCAGCCTCCGCGCCTGCAGGTGCTCGCCAGGTGATGCTGTCCATGCTTCTCATCCACCTCGCTCCCGCCTTTCCTCTGCCAAGCCGCAGCTGTCCTGAGCAGCCCCAGGGTGGGGGCGGGCCGCTTGGTGGTGGCTCCCTGGCCCTGCCCTTGGCTTGCCGTGCAAAGGAGAAGGCCCTGCCCGCCCGCATGGGCTGCGACAGCTGAGGAAGCGGAGGCAGCTGTTGGGAGAAATTGCTCAGCGATGCCCCCCGGCTTTCTCTGCAGGACCACGTCATCCGAGAAGAGAACAAGAGCCTGACGCTGAGGCAGTGTGCGATTATGGAAGTGGTCCTGGCCACCATCAAGGTACGGCGTTTCCCAGGGGGACCAGGTGTGGGCAGCGGGTTGGGAAGAGGGTGAGCCCCAAAAGCGATGGCAGTGAGTCACCTAAACCACAGCTGGGCCAGCAAGAGAAGCGCAAAAGCAGGCGGGCGGCTCAGAAGCCAGGGGACTTCCTTGGGTGCGGTTGCATAACCGATCGGTGAATTCTGATAGGTGGTTGTGTCTGCTTATAATGCATTTAAATAAAGTATTAAATAAGAAGTGCTTATAGCATTTAAGCATTAAATAAAGGCAGGTGCCAGTGTCCCTCGGGTTTCCCCAGAAACAGGCGGGAGGTGGGGAAGCGCTCTTGCGACGGCACTTTGAAGCATCCCACTGGAGGATGCTGGGGGAAGAGGACTCCCTGGGCACTGTGCCCCTCGGGGTCTGTGCTGAACCCACCCCCCCTCCACCGCCTGTGCCGTCCTTCCCTTCCCGGTAAGCAGCCCTAACGGCAGGCGCCGATCAGAAACGAGAGCTGCAGCTGGCTTGTGGGTGGCTTGGAGCAGCCGGGCTGCTGCAACCTGAAGACGGCAGGAGCACAGAATGGGGCCTCTTTCCACGGCCACTTTTCTTTAATGTGCTGAACTCGTGTGGAAATGCATTTGCCACCTGCATGAGGGACTTGATGGGCTGTCATGTTAATTGACAGGGCCTGCCCAGGGCTTGCTGATCTGGCTCGCTTTGAATTGCCCCGAGCGAGCGGGAGGGTGATCTGGTGAATAAAGATGCAGGAGAGCCAGCAGCTCTGGGCCCCTCTGCTCCCCCTGCCCTGCGCTGCCTCCACCCCTCCGCTGAGTAGCCCCCCAGCAGTGAACACGGGGCCATTCAAAGGGAGTGATGAAGCCTTCCCTCCGTTGGAACGGGTCTTGCTTGTGGGCCAGGAGATTGGGAATCCAGCTGGATCCCTCCAGCACTGCCATCATAACCCCGTGGACTTCCAAAGAGCCACTGCAGCAGGGCAAGCCTCTCCCCCCCCCCCTGGTGAAAAAAGCCCCTCCAGATATGCCACAGTTTCTGTCATGGGACGCACAGAAACTGGGCTTTGTGTCTTGGGCCAGCCCAGCTGGTCTGAACGACTCGGGCAAAATCCAGCAGCGGCAGTCGCCACACAGGACTGAGACAGCGGAGCCTGTGCCGGAGGCGCCGTCCAGTCGTCTCCAGCTTCTGGCAACCCCATGCATGAAAACTCTCCAGAGCGCCAGTCCACGGCAGCTCCGTTCAGCTCTACTGGGCGGCTTCCTCTCTAGAGCCAGTCATTCGCAGATGTGGCCTCCGTTTTCATCTTCTGCGTCACGGGAGGGAAGGGGCTTTGCCGGGAGTTTGGAAGCTGGGAGCAGCGCCTTATTTCCTTGTTGCTTTAAAACTCTGCTTGGCTCGCCTCACTGCAGAGCCCCGGATGGTTGTAGGGCCAGGAAGATTCCACCCAAATACCTTGGATCTCTGCAAGCCAGTTCCCCGACCTGCAGAACGGAAAGCCTGAGCGGGCCCCTGAGGGGCCCCAGGCAAGTCTGATGCATTCGGAAGGACAGCCAAGGCCTGTCCACCCAGTGCCGTGCACACGGGGACAAGGCTGCCCCATGACCGTCCCCACCCCGCCAGGGCTGCTTTGCTCACTCGGTGATCCATAGGGCCATTCCGCATGCACAAGAAGGCACAGAAAAGGGACTCGTGGTATATTCTGGGATCGGCCCAGCGCAGGTGAAACGTTTGAGGTTTTCCCCTGGACAAGGCTACAAGTGTTAGCTGCTGCCTGCCAGTTCAAGACCTGCTGCAAAGGAGAGCGTTTCAGGCCAACCTTGCAGGACTATTTTGGGCTTAATGAGAATGTTATTTTCTGTTACTTCTTTGATCTTCCCAAGAATTTGACTTAAGAAGAGCATAGGAGGGGTCTATGATCAAAAAGGCTGAGCAGTTCTTTTTTGTTAGTGTACTATGCAGTTAGAAAAATGCACACGTGAAATTGCAGGCCATTGATTTATATAGGAGGAGCCCTCCAGAGGGTTGTTTCTGCCCTACACCAAAGGGAGACACCCTTGTGGGGCTGAGCCCCCATTCAAGATGTCTCTCCCTCAGAGTCAGGCTGGCACATTTGCTTCCCGCTCCAGCAGGCTAAGGCCCCGCCGAGCAGCTCCCTCTGTGGACTGTGCCCCCCCCCCCGCCTCGTCCTCTTTCTGCCACTCAGCTCTTAGGAGGGGTAATTTAGCTGCTTCAGAGCACGCTTGACAGGCAGCAAGCAACTACTCCTGCTTCTGGTGGATCCTCGCAGAGATCCTCCTCTTTCTCCAGAACCACGGAGGGGGTGAATTCACAGTTCCCTCAGGCCACCTTTCCATTTGTGCACAGCTCCTCTATCTGGAAAGACGTGTCTAATTATGCGTTTTTATTCAATAATTGTTAGCTAATTAAAACTCCCTCCTAGCAATTTAAATCTGTTGGCTTACATCCAGCAAAGCTGGCCAGACCAAGGAAGTGGTGGGAAGTTTCTCTGACATTCCCGCCGTGGCTGCGTGCAGTGCCAACAAGGCAGGGCCCAACTGGCCTGTTCTGCACAGCACCACTCCTGCCCGCAGGGCTCCCGGAGCCCCTGGGCCGGCTGCCAAAACTGTTACCAGACTGTGCCAGTTAACAGCTGGGGCAAATCCCAGGTGGACCCCAGACCAGAAGCCAGACAGAGCCTGAGATGAGACTTGGAGCCAAAACCAGCTTTATTCTAGTGCGCTATAGAATACAGGGAGACAAAAGGGGACATTCAGCCCAAAGCAGTGTCTCTCCCTTGCTTTTGTGTGACAAAACACTTCTTCCTTCAAATCCCTGTTGTGCAGGGCCTGTTTCTTTTAAGAGGCTGTACCATTTTAAGCAGGACAAATTAAGATATACTGCCCTTGAGCCGATAGTAGAAGGCCAACCCGTCAAGCCTCAAGCCCCATCATAGTACGTCAGAAATGTTCTAGCTGCCATCTTGCCCCTCTTCCCTGCCCAAGGCTGCAATTCTGGGCATGTTTACAGCAAAGTAAACACGGAACTCAGAGTTGTGATAACTTAGTTATGAGCTCTGGGGAGCGGCTCCGGGGCAGCTGGACTGTCTGGATCGGTGCTCTTCTCCCTTCTCCTCCTACTTTCTCCTTTAGCAATACTTCCACGCGGGAGGAAACGGGCTGAAGAAGAACTTCCTGGAGAAGAGCCCAGACCTGCAGTCTCTCAAATATGCACTGAACCTTTACACGCAGACAACAGATGTCCTGATCCGGAAATTCATTGACACCCAGACGTCGCAGAGTAAGTGGGCCCCGGTGGGCCTGAAAGGCGGCTTGTGCTGGAGCCCTACAAGCATTGGAAGGCCCTGCAGGGGCCCTCCTGGCCCGTTCGCTGCCCCTTCCTGGAGAGGGGAGCGCCTGCACAGGGCTTCTGGCGCTTTGCTGCCGCTTCTCAGCGTTCGCTCGCCACGTGTTCCAGGGCAGAAAAAGCTCTCACCTGCTGCAGACAAGCAGGGAGACCTCGTTCGGGGCCGCAAGGCACAGCGCACCTTCCATCTCCGAGGGCAGCACTTCGGCAGGCGGGGCGCTCGAGCGGAGAGGCCCCTTTTGTTCCCAGGCAGCAATACGAGGGCTCTCCTTTGGACACTTGTCTGCCTGTGCTCTGGGCGTGGGGCTTTTGGCTCAGGCCTTTGCTTCCGAGATCCTGGGGACACTTGCGAAGGGTCTGAAAGTAGCCGGCGGGGCTGGCCAGTGAGTGCCGGATGCCTCCTGCTGGGGCCGTGTTCTGGGGTGCTTGGCCCGGGGGCCCCGGTGCGCTAGCCAGGGCTGATGGGTTGGGCTTGCAGGCCAGGCAGCCTCACTCCGGAGGAGCCTGGCTTGGAGGGCCCTTCCCTCTGGTGGGAGGACTCCTTGGGGAGCCATGGGAAGCGCCCCTGAAGCAGAACCGGTGCTGGGATGGCCAGCAGCATGGGAGGGAAGTGGCACAGGGCGCCACGGGCCTCCTGTCCCTGCAGGCGGAGTTGGCAGTCCACGTGAGGTGGCTGTGAGCGCGGGCGGGGGCAGCAGGGGGCCTGCCCCTGTCCCCACAGCCCCACTGAGCCTTCCGCGCATACTGGCAAGGTTGCTTTGCGTCCACTTTCGCCGCAGGCTGTCCCCAGGTCACCATCTCCATCAACAGGCCTGCCCCAGGCAGGGACGGATGGCGTTCTGGGCGCACGCGCTCCCACACGGGGAGCACGGACTGGCCCAAAATTAGCAGCAGTGTCTACGGGTGGGTGAGGGGCAGGAGGGATGCCATCTGTTGAAGCCGCCCCTGCGGGAGCGCTGACCTCCCCCGCCTCTCCCAGGACCCCGGCACCCGGCTCGGGAAAATGCCAAGGCCTCAGCTCTACCTGGCAGGGCCGAAGGCGCCGTGTGGGCTGTACATCCATTCGGGTCCTCCCAAGCCGGAGTGCCCTTGCCCCTGTTGGCGCCAGTCCGCCCCTGAACACACCTTGGGCTGCAGCAGTTGTATGTTGCGTGCTGGATCGGCCTCAGACTCAGAGCACTCATACAACCCCCACCCCCAGGAGAAGATGTGTGAACACCACTGTAAAAAGCTCCATTCGTGCCCACGGCTCTCCTGCTCCAGCAGGCACGGTCTCAGGTGCGCGGCTGTGGCCCCCGCAGGCCGCTTGATGACCGTCGACCCTCCCTTGCAGGCCAGGTGACCAGCAGCGCCGTTGGGGAGCTCAACCTTCAGGTGGACCTCACAACCCACCCTGGGACCGGTGAGCAGAGGGTCACAGTGAAAGGTACGTTTCTACAGCCAGCCTGTTGCAACTTCCCCAGCAGCTCGGGCTGGACGGGCTCCCACGGCCCGTCTCATCAGAGCTTGCTGCCCGGAGTAGGACTGCGTGAGCCAGGCTCAGGAGGCCCGTGGACTGTGGGCAGCTGCCAGCCCTGCAGCGAGATGCTGGGCAAAGACCAACCATTTCTTCCACAAAGCGCTGCCTTCATTTGTCTGCAGAGGCCAGGCCATGATGCTGGAGGGGGTGTGGGAAGCCCAGAGAGGCCCCTGAAATGAGCACAGATTTAATGGTGCGGGTGGAGAGTCAGGACCGGGTGATCTCAGGGCCACGTGGCGGTTTTGCTCCCCTTCAGATGGTCTTTTGGGGCAGGGCACCTCCTGCTTCACGTGCTTCAAACTGGCGTGAGCGGCACTTTCTCCCAAGCCCCTGTCCTGCTGGCAGGCTGCAGCCTCCCCCCGACCAGCGAGTGGGAGGGGCCGTATGGAAGAGGAAGAGACAGGGACAAAGCTTGCCTGCCTGTCCGCCCTGCCCTGCCCTGCCACATGGCCCGGCTCTTCCCAGCGCACCTGCTCCGTCCCTGCCACACACTCCCCTTCTGCAAGCAGAACTGCCTCGGCTCCTCCCTGGCCCTGCGGGAGGAACGGCTCGCCACCTCTGCCTGCTGTGCGCAGCACTCGGTGTGCGTGCGGCGTGGGAACGGTGCTGCCTGTTCTTGTTCCTCAGTGGTCGCCATCAACAAGCTCAGCTGGCAGACCAGCGCCATGTTCCGGCCCTTCGTGGAGGTCTGCCTTCTGGGGCCCAGCCTTGGGGACAGAAGGCGGAAGCACGGCACCAAGACCAAGAGCAATACCTGGTCTCCCAAGTACAACGAGACCTTCCAGTTGTAAGTGGCCTTTGCCTCTCCGTGTGGCTCGTGCCCACGACCCGCCCTTGGCGAGGGTCCTAACGCCGTGCGTGGTTTCCCTCTAGCCTCCTGCGCCCCGAGGAAAACCCCGGGGCCTACGAGCTGCACCTCTCCGTCAAGGACTACTGCTTTGCCCGGGAGGACCGCCTCATCGGCATGGCCGTGATCCAGCTGCGCAGCCTGGCGGAGCGAGGGACCTGCACAGGGTGGCACCCGCTGCTGCGGAGCATCTCCGTGGACGAGACGGGACTGACGATTCTCCGGATCCTTTCTCAGAGGACCAATGACGACGTGGCAAAAGAGTTCGTCCGGCTCAAATCGGAGACCCGATCTGTTGAGGAGACCACCTAAAAGCTCCTCGCGAGAAATGCGGCCTGTCAGCACCAAGACCTTTGACCCGGCGTTATCGGGGCCCGAATCATGCATGTGTGTGCAACTGTGTGGGAATGTTTAACTAGCTCCGTTTCCGTGTTTGCCAGAACATCAAGCACTATATTTGCGAGGTGTGTCCAAGAGCTGTCCACCTTTTCTCCATGTCTGGGTCTTTGAAAAAGAAGTAATTGTTTCAATGAAGTGCCAAACCTGCAATGAAGAGCAAACGATCCATGGCATTTTTGAAACGCTGATTTCGTCTCGTTACAGCCTCTCCATCGCAAGCATTTCCGAGGGAAACGTCGCCCGCTGGGGCCGCGTCATGAGCCATCCCTGTTCAAAGGCTCTTGGGGCCTCTCGGCGCCTCTTCGCCAAGTCCCCCGTCACCCCCCGCTGCCCCCTGCCCCCCGTCCTCCTTGGCTGGTTGGCCAAATCACCTCTTTCTGTTTTATGCAAACCTCATTTTCAGTCTCGCTTCCCAAACCTTTTTCTACCATACCTTACAGATGCAGTAACTTCAAGAAAGGGTTTGTAATTTTATAATTGCTGATAACAAAGAAACGATTTTTTTGCATACAGACTTAAAAAAGGTGGAACTGTTTTATGCTGATATTTTTTCCACCCTTTCATATTTATCACTGTGAAGAAGAAATGCTGTCAGTGCAAGTCCTCAAGATTTAATCGCGTTTGTTACTGATGTTTGATATCTCAAGATCTTTGTTCTCCCAAACTGCCAAGGTAGCACCATATTTGTATTAGAAGGGGCATGCCATCGCCCCCCGCCCCCCAGTGATGTGCCTCGGGCACAGGAGGAAGGAACCCCCCCAAATGCCCCCGGCAGTGGCACCTTCCATCAGGGCAGCAGACAGAGGACTGCACTGTGCACCTGGGGAGGTTTGCTGTGTTGTGCAGCACTCCCTGCTCCTCCGGCGGGGGCTTCCTGGGGCCTGGCGGGGGCCCGCTTAGAGTCACAGGACCTGCAACACGGCCGGCCCAGACGATGGGGATGCCAAGACAGACACGCCAGTTGGTGGCTTCTGGCGAAGGATCCTCCGCAGGGAGCAGTTCTGCTGTTAGCGTGACCCACTCCAGCCATTACAGACATTCTTTTACAGACTTGGCTGAAATCTCGGTTGAGTGCTTTATTTCTTATTTTCTGTTTCATGAAAGTTCAACTGTTTCTACTTATGCAACATGCCTATGTCCTGCACTGAGGCGAAAAATCCACGTCCTGTAAATACATTTCGTGAGAAAGTGTAAAATAAATCTAGAAGAAACAGCCCCCGGTGCCTCTGCTTGCCTTCTTTGCCCCTCGGCCCTGCCAAAAGGGTCGCCCAGAGGAATGGGTGGGGTCAGTCAGTGCTTGGCAGAGCTGGAAGGAATTGCTTTGAAATGCAGATCTATCTCAGACCCCTTTCCTCGCAACACGGGGCTCACACCCAGGCCTGGCAGGGAGAGGGAGAGCTGCTGGGGAACCTTCTGGTCCCTAGAAGGTGGTGAGTTTGCACAGAGGCGCTCGCAGAAAGGCCACCGTGGCTGGGTTGCCCGTTCATGCAATGGCTGCCATGGGCATTCAGCCAGGCACAAAGTCTCTTCCCAGAAGGCCAAGGGGACTGAAAAGCGACCCTTTGAGAGGTTGCAAAGCAAAGGTGTGATCTGAGCTCCAAACACTCCCCCCAACTCTTCGAATCCAAATCTAGATGGTTCATTCTGCAACAGGCCAGCCTCTCAGTTCAATTTAATTAAAAGAGCAGAGCAAAATCTTAAGCAAGGTAAACCTCGGGAGGCTCCCAGGGACGGCGAAGGGTGCTGGGGTCTTCTCCCCTTCCCCCAGTCCTGGACAGGCTGGAGTGGAACTGGGACCTGAGCCCCTCGAAGCCATCTCAGGCTTCTGATCCAAGAGGAAGTCCTCCACCCTTCTGGCAGGGCCCCCCAGAACCCATTCCTGGCGTGTATCGCTTATGTCCATGGTGCCATTTGTGGCAGCCTTTCCCCTGCCCGAAGCACAGTTCATCGGTGCCGCTGGCTGAGTTGGAAGGCATGGTTTTAACGCTGGAAGGTTGTCGGAGGCCTGGAGCATATCTGAAGTCAGCCAAGAGCCAGCTGGCAGCCCAGAAAAGACTGCTCAGCCATCTTTGAGGCGCTCCGTTAGCTGCATCCAGGGTGCCATGTGTGGCTAGAGGCTTTCATCTGTGGGAGAGCAGCAGGGAGGCAGAAAGTAAACACACTGGCTTGCAAAGGTGTGTGTGTGTGTTTTACTGAGCGTCTTCCCCTAATCAGAAATGCAACTTGTGGCAGGAGAGAAGATGCGCTGCAATTACATGGGCAATTGAGCTTTATTGAGCATTTTTGAAGGAACGGAGCATATTTCCATGGCTCCCGAAAGCAGAGCTACAAGCATTAATTGGACATCAATCTGATTTCTCCTGGAAAACGGACCTCCAGTTCAGTCCAGGGATGCAACAACCCTTGGGAAATGCCTAGAGCAAAGACGGTTCAAGTCAGTCTTTATTTCAGTATCTAATTTGTCCCATCTCACGGTCTCAGTGTGGTAATTCTTAACCACCCAAGAAAGCCACTAAAAAACATAAAATCACTATTAAATATGGATTTGCTAAAATGGATTTGAATCTTCTTGCTGTCATTTAGCCAGAGCAATCAAAAACCAGCCAACCACCCCAGGCACAGATCTTGAAAATGAGCGCTAGGCCATGGATCCAGAGCAGCCCAGCTCTGGTTTCCTTCGGGTCCAGCTCCCATTCTTGTGGGTTCTCATCCACCAAGCACAGCTGAGCTGCAGGAGGGGGCAGAGGGGCCTGCTGTGCCAGGAGACGTGCGCCTCGAAAGCCCCCCGCCCCAAACACCATTCTTGATACAACCACTAGCAGGAGAGAGTCCGGAAGCCTCGGCCATTGGGTGGTTTTAAAATTAAGCAAGCAAGCAAACATGTTCATGCAAAAATCCCCCATCCCTCATGCCAACTAATGGAATTCAACCACTGCTTCTAAGTCTGACACAAATTGCAGTATTCTTAGTTGACTGATTAAGCCGAGTAATCAAAAGACTCAGCAAAGGTGCCTTTCCGAGATACGATTGAGGAGAGAGCAACGTTTTCAACCAACAGTGAGCTAACAGCCCCAGTGAAAAACAGAAAGGCCCTCTTTGGGGGTTTGCTGCCGTTCCGTGCCTGCACCGTCAGTGTGGCAGGTTCTGAAAGGGAAAATACAGAGACGCCCTCCTGATTTAAATTGGCCACCGGTGATTAATCATGCGGCGTTTATTTCTTTACTTGATTAATCTTCTGACTGAAGTGATTAAAGCTGGAAGCCCTAATTGTTCCTTGCTTTTAAAAAGTGGGGTGGGGGGGGGCACCGCCTGGATTGCGGCTGAAGGAGTGGGACCGCCATGGCGGCAGCTCCCACAAAGGCAGCTCAGAGATGGGGTGGGAGGAAGGAGAGGGCAACGCCCCATGGCAGCCGGCTCTGCTCGCTGCCTACAAGCTGAGCTAAAAATAAAATGCAGGAGCATCACTCCACACCCGCAGAGCAGGTTCCCCCCGGAGACCTAGAAACTGAGAAACAAAGCGAGTCAGAAGGGTCTCCTGGGTCATCTAGTCTGACCCCAGCTCCAGCAAGACCTTCAGGAGTCAAGGGTGCCCCGTGGAGTGTGCCTCGTGGGCGCCAGCATGGCTAGCCCACAAAGCTGATGGCAGCCACTTCACCAGCTTCGGGCAGGTTGGTCCTTCCAGAAGGCCCAGGAGGCAGCTGGTGCTGGCAGAGGGGATCAAGGAGAGAGCGCACAGCAGGCTGGGGTCCTGCCTGCCCCCCCCCCACAACTTAAATTAATTTAATTTAATTATTTTAATTAAATTAATAAATTAATTTAATTAAAAATTTAATTAAATTAAATTAAAAATGTTTTAATAAATAAAATAAATAAATAAACTTTCTGGATGCCCTCGGGTATGAGGGAGGACCCTGTCCTGGGCCAGTGCTGGAGGAGGACACGGCTCCGCTTCTGTGGGTGCAAGGGCGGGCTGGGTCCCTCCGCCCATGGCCCGCTCGTCTAAGCACGTGTCCTGCAAGGCCAGGAGCAGCCCTCGTGCCTGCTGGCCCCTGGAGGCCCAGAGTTGCCTCGCCAAAGCCGTGTGGCATCATCTCTTGCCACAGCCCCCCTCCACATCACGGTCTGTGGAAGAAGCCTGGACTGGCCCACCATGGAGGTGACCCTCCCCCCCCAGAGCTTTGTGGAGAGGGAGTCTGAAGACAGCCGCTCCTGCTGCTCCGCCGAGTCAGCAAAACAAGCAGGGCAGGCCACAGGGGGCGAGATGTCAGGAGACGAAAGACAAGCCTCCCCTGCAGAAGAAGAGAAAGGAGCTACATGGTGATTAACTGGGTGCAAATTGTTCCTGCAAACCAATTATGTTCAATCAGCATCTGCCAATACATGTTTCTATAAATTGCCATTCCTGGTTCTTGCTCCCTGCGTCCGCGTGAGCACAGAGCCTGGCACCAGGTCAGATGGAGACCTGCAGATGTAAAAAGCAGCACAGCGGAGGGGAAGTGGCTCTTCTCATTAGCTGCTCTCCTCTCTGCCCTGGTACTGGCCAGGAACCAGGAACTGGCCCCTTTCGGAGCCCCCTGTTCCTCGAGGCCCAGCAGCCCCAGCCCAGGGCAGTTTCCCACGCCTGCCACAGCCTGGGCCTGGCGGACAATGCCCACTGGTGCCCAAAAGACAGCAAGACGAGCTCCCTGGCTCGCCCCCTGCACCCACTAGCAGCCACGTGGTGGCTGGACATGCTGACGGTGCCGCCCAAGCTCGCAGAAGCCTGCTGTGCTCTCAGGCACCTCCGCGCCCCAGGCCTGCAAGCAGGTGGCCCAGGGCCTTCTATCACAAGGCTGGAAGTTGCTCTGGACCCTCCAGGCCCCCCCTTTGGAGGCAAAATGGCACCCGAGGGATGCAGGTTTGCCTGGGGAAGT